CCCTTTTTTTTATTTTTTGGAATTTTTAAAAATTAAATTTTTTAATTATAATATTTCATGTATTTTTTAAAATTATAAATTTTAATGTTTAAAAATTAAAAATAAATAATAAAAATTTTAATTTTAAAGTATAAACATATATTTTAAAGTTTAAATTCACTTTGAAAATTAAAAATATTTTATTTTTTAAGGAAAAAATAAAAATGAGCCTACAAGGGTGTCCAAGTCTGAGCTCATTTTTTCAAGGCCAAGTTTGAAAGCTCAATTTTCTTAAAATATATCATTTTTTTCAAATCCAAATCTTTATAAAAATAAGTTTAAACAGGTGACCCTTCAAGTTTCATCTTTATTTTCAACTCTAATGAAAGGAAACACACACACCCTTCGCAACCCCTTTGGGCTCAAACTCACATTCTACATATAGAAGGTAGGCGGTAATGCCATTGTGACAACAAGGCCACTGGCTCCATCTTGAGCTAATAACCATCAAATCATATTTACATATATTTTTTGAGCAAGAAAGGAAAGGTAAAATCAATCATTTAAATGAATTCAATATTTTGACCGGTTGAACGAATTCATGTTATATTGTGTCGAACAATAAAAAAAGTATATATGTATGTACCCAAAAAAAGTATATATGTACATTTAATTAATGTAGTGCATCTAATAAATTCAGAATTTTAATGAAAATAACTATACAATCAATACTTAAAATCACATTGGTGTGTGGGATTGGCTTTAGTAAATTACTTAAGTCCACTTACTCACTAAATATCTCATATGGCATAATAACAATCATTTGATGCAATTAAGGTTATAAGAAATTTTGTCATATAATATGGGAAGAGTGATTTGAAAGATGTATCTTAATGATTTTTAAATATTGATAAAATTTAATAGCTGTAATTGAGATACTTATTGAATGAACAGATTTAAGCCATTCATTAAATTCAAATTGTTTTTTTGAAAAATTCTTGAGTAAAATAAATTAACATCCTCTTTAATTTTACCAAAAACCTAACATTTAATTCAATTTTATGTTGTAGAAAAAATTGACTTATATATACAATGGAAAAGTTTTCCTCCAGTTATGATGATAATGAGCCTTGATTTTTAGGGTGGAATTAATAAGGAACATTATGCCATAAGCCCATAATGGAAAAGGAAAAATGAGAACTTAATTTTCTTTAACCAGCAAAAAATGAGTAAGTTAATGATTTTTTTCCCCCACTTTCACTTTAGTATTACATATTTTTAATCTAAACTAATCTAGTTAATAGATCATAGGTATCACTTTACAGGAATACCTCCTAATGAGAATTTAATTATCACTATCTATCTAGTAGAAGTAGGCCGAGTGGCCTATCAAGAATTTATAAGTTGACCTATTTCAAACCTGATTTAGCCATTTTGGCAAATAAGTCAAGTTAGTTTCAAGTTTTTAATCAAACTTATTTAAATAAATAGAATAAGTTTATTTTTACAAGGTCTGGCCTACGAGGGTGACAAGGCAACTTATTTACATATATTATTATTATTATTATTATTATTATTATTATTATTATTTTGTAATATATTCCCTTCATCTCTATATATATAAGATGTTTTTAATCAAATCATGCAAACTAATAAAAGTTAATTATCTAATTAAAGGCATAATAACATTTTAATTTTGCCTTTAACTATTGTAGATAAAAAATAAATATTTTTTTAAAATAAATCAATCAGAGTATTTATCTTTTTCTCTTTTCAATTTAATAAGAATATAATAATCCATTTATTAAAAAAAAAAGCTACCAACCTCTTATATTTAGGGATAAAAAAATTTTAAAAAACTTCTTATATAAAAGAATGAAGGGAATATATAAATGATATAAAATATATAAAATATTTAATTTAGGAATTAGGAAATATAGAAAGTTAAAAACCCTAAAGCAATTTGATAAAACAAAAAAGAGAACCTAAAACTGAACACTTGCACTGCGTCATCCTCGACCTCGTTTTCAAACTCCTGCGACTTCTCCTCGTCTTGTGCTTAATCTTTAGATCTTCGTTCAATCTCTCTCGATCGTTACTTCTCATCAAGCTTCCTCACTCATCTCATTGACTCCTCACCAGTCACCTACGCCTAGTGGCTACTTCTTCCGTTCTTCATTCGTTCTCTTAGCCTCTACTCCTCCTTCAAATCCTCCTCTTTACTTTAGCTGCAAACTTATGTTGTGTATATGTAAATTTTAATAGGTTCGAAATATATTTAAAGACTTTAAAATTTAGAAAGAATTACATTTAGAAACTACTCAAACAAATTATTTTTAAATAAGTACCAATACAAAATGAGTTGTTGTTAAAAAAAATAAGGACTTGGTTTTTGTTTTTTAAAAAAATGGAACTTGTTTGTCATTGTCCGTAATTAATTTGTTTAAGTGATTCTTAAATGTAATTTTTTTCTAAAGTTTATTACGTAAATTTATTTAAAAGAACTATTTTTAAGTAACTTTTTAATTTAGACCAGCCTTCAAATAAGCTCAAGCTTGAGCTTTTTTAAAAAAAAAAGCTTTATATAATATAAAAGTTAAAGGGTTGAAGCTTTTGATTTATTACACAAGTTTAAGTTTATTTAACAAAGCTTGGACTGACTTATTTCCTTTATTAATTTTAAGGTTTGAAATTTAAACATTTAATTATGAAGGATAAAGTTAATGAATATTTGGATTACAGTCACCTAAATCTAAATTGATTTTGTGGGCCGTTTTGTTAAAAGTTCAACCGGCCGAGTAAACGTGAGGCTCTCAAGTCTCAAGTTTCATCCATGTGAATATCTGGAGATTAGAGGGCCCGTTTGGACATTGAGAATGACATATTTTTTGGGCAATCATTACAAATGGAATTTTTTTTTTACAAAAACAAACATTTAATTCTTTAATTTTATATATGTCTTAATTTAATTTTTAAATTTTTATAAAATATATTTTTTTAGTCTTCTAACATTTATATCATTAGTATTAAATGATAATTTTTTGTGCCAATTGTCATTTATAAAGTTACTTAATATAACAACATTTGAAAATGTTTATCCACATTTAACAATTCAATGACATCATTCTTTTAGTTACTGAAACTAAAGATATTAAAATTAGGTGCTTGAAAAATAAAATTAAGCAATTAAAATGAAACATTATTTGAAATTAAAGAACCAAATATGCACTCTTGTAAAAAAAAATATTTGAAAATTTTATAATACATAACTTTGCTTAATGTAGTATGATAAAAATATTTAATAATATTTGAACAAGTTAAAATTTGAGCAAATAAGCTAATAAATTTAAATCATCTACTCTAATAAAATCCGATATATATTATTAAACCATGTAGAAAAGCTACTTCCATTATTACGTAAACTCAACATCAGCTTTGTTTTGAGCTTCACAGTCCATACCTATTATATTTCATTATTTAATTGTTTGTTCATCATATTTTACTTTAATTTTACCTCCACTTTTTTTTAAACACTAATTTGAACTCACGTAGGTTTTAGCTTTGGGATTGCGCAACCCTATACCCATATCGTTTTATATAATATTCATGGATTAAAAAATTCTAGCCAATTGAATTATACTTATTTATTTATTTAAAAGTTGAATTCCAACATTTGATTAGTAAGACATGCATGGTGTCTGTTTTCAGTTAGGCCTACTTTCCCTTCCATCAATTAAGGAACGTTGACCTGATAAGCTTTGCTTCATCCTACTTACAAAGTTAATTTTGGCGATTACGACAAGAATCCCACATTTACTACCTAATAATAATTATAATATTCTAACTCATTCTTGTTAAAATAATAATAATAATATCTTCCTTTAAACTACAATATATGACATTGTTAGCTTCTTCACGATTGTAAAAAATGTTACACAAAGTCTTAAAGATATTTAAATCTGTTCAATTATATTCTTTTTAACTATCTTATATAAATTCTTTAATAATGATAATTAAAATTTTATTGCATTATTTTTTAAAAAAAGAGTAATAAATAAAGTAAAGGTTTAATTAAAAAATAATTATAAAAAATTTCTTAATGCCTTATATTTTAAATTAAGTAGGATTTTTAGGAGATGTCATATATAGAGGGAGTAACTGATTTATATTTTGGTAAGCCAAACATGCCATTTTTTTTTCATATATATTTTTCTAAAATGACAGGCGTGGGCATGAGTAAACGTATCTCACCAAGCGCTCGGAAGATTAAGTTACTGTAATCTTACATGTGTGTGTGTTTGTGTGTGTTTTTTTTTTTTTTTCCCAAGTAATAATACAACAAATTCAAATAATGATTAACTCCGATCATACAAAATTATCTAGAATTTCCTGTCTTTACTAGGCACTTATCATCAAAGAAAAGATATGTTACGCGGCAAAAGGATGGATTAGTAGGGGCATCTACCTCCTGTTCATGATACATATATAGAGTAATCCATTATCTTTATTTTATAAGATATTTTTAAAAGTAATTTAGTACCAGAAATATAAAATGTTTTTTTAAAAAATAAATTTTTATTTTTATCAAAGTTTTTTATATTTTAAAATGAAAAATTTTCTCTAAAAATATAATTTAAAATGAAAGGAATATAATTTTTTTAAAATATTAATATTTCAACTAATGTATTTAGAAATAGTAATTGCATTGGATGGAGTATTTTTCAAATAAATAAATATCTAAAAAAGAAAATAAAATGTAGCCATCAGAGGGAGACACAAGGATGACCACCCTCCTCCGACCTGATATACAATCTGCAAAATTGGATTAGGTGGCCAACTCTTTGCCACATAATCCCCAATCAGTCAAACTGTACCCGCCAGAATTCAAATCCATTTTTGTTCTTTTCATTTCTTTTCTATTATTTTTTGGGCAAACAAACAAACACTCCTTCTACTGGCCGTCATTTAAATCAAAAACAAATATCAGCAATTTAAGTCTTATCTACTTGAATTCAAAGTGAGACCAACAGCTCATCTTTATTTTCGGAGAGGGCGAAGAAAGAAATCTTTGAGATTGTCTTAATGTTCTATTTGTGGGGAGAGAGAAAAAGGTGGTAAGTTGAGAGATTGGCGAGCAGATCAGCAGCCAGTTGCTTTCTTCCATTTGGCTTACTTGATATTATATATATGCATATGTTATAAAGCCCGAGGAAGTTTGGCCAACGGTTAACTTCCCTCCAGAAGTTGTAGATTCCCTTGGAATCAAAGCAAAGCTTTGCAATTCAGCAGTTGATTCTTGGTCACCATCTGAGACCCAACCTCACCTTCCTGACACGTCCTTCATACCAATCTCTTCTTCATCCTCCTATATACACTTCAGGTCTTGATTCTTCTTCATATTCAGCTTCATCCAGTAAACCCCACTTGAATTTCTCACCTCTCGTTGAATTGAAGCTTTCTGCTCTGTATGTGTTTGCTGAAAGTCTCATGTTCTTGGTCTTCAATTCAAGATCAGCTGGGTTTTGTTGCTGAGGTTTTAAGCAGGTTTCATGATATAAAGTCATAGCTTTTCTGCTTCTTCTTGTTCTGCTCTATCCATAAAATTCCATCCCCGAGTTTATTATCAGCTTTAAGCTTTTGTCGCCTAAGTGTTCGATGAAAGGCTCGTGGTCTTGGAAATCAAAATCAGCTGGGTTTTGTTGCTGAGACTTAAAACCCGGAAAATTTCTTGAAGTTCTGGCTTTCTGTGGAGTTCTGAAGTTTATGGGAATTGGTCCTGGTTTGTTCACAAATTCTCAGATGGTATTGGAGTCACAAAAAAGTTGGTTATCTGCAATTCTTCATGCTATTTTTTGCAGATAGAATTCAATAAGAGTGTTTCTCTGATATAGACAAAAAGAAAGGGTGTCTTCTGTTCATGCTTTAGCAACTTCACAGCTTGATTTGATTCCAAAAAAAAAAAAAAAAAACACTTTCAAATGAATTCAGGGTCATTGGTTTCCTTTTCTTCAAACTCTGTATCAAGAGAAGATAGAGTGGCTAGTGCCAGAACCAGGTCTTCTCATAACTCAAGGCCTTCCTTTTTGATTCGGATGGCCATGAGGATATCAAGAGCAAGATGGTTCACCTTCTTAAGAAGAGTTTTTCATTACCAAAATGGATCAAGGTCTGATCTTGGATCCAATCCTTTTAATTCTAGCACATGGATGACACTAGAGTTGATTGCTTTGATGGTTCAGATAACCCTCACATCCTTCATTTTGGCCATTTCTAAGAGTGAGAGGCCTGTTTGGCCCATGAGGATATGGATTTCTGGCTATGATATTGGCTGTTTGCTCAATCTGTTGCTACTTTATGGACGCTATCGTCAGCTTTATCTGTCTCATGGAGATGCTCTTAGCCTCTCAGACATGGAACAACAGAGAGGCAATGAAGAAACCAGGTATTCTACTGTGCTTTTCAAAACCTTACAAAATGCGTGTGTGTACTTAAAAAGGAAGGCAACTTTTATTAAAAGTAAAAGTAAAAGTAAAACGAATACACATAAAAGGCTTTTAGAAAAGAACTCCAAAATGTGTGTTTGTGTGCATGGGACAATCAAATTTTCAGTTCCTCAACTTTATTTGGTCCTTGAATTTAGTTTTTATCAATTTTGTCTCTTATGGTTTTTTTTTTTAATTGTCATGTTATTACTCTAAGTTATATGTAGCTAAACGAAAACAAACTAACTTTTAAATCAAATTTGATTTTTATCGATTAAGCCATTCATGCTTGGTTTTTTTTTTTTAAATTCTTGAGTCCAAATTTTTCCTACATGAATAATTACATTTCTTTTTATTATTAATCTGCATGGTTGCTAATTTGCTGTCAATATTTTGTTATTCATGTCAGTATATTTTAACAATGTTATATCTTTTTTAAATAATTAAGATCAAATCAATAACTATGAAAAATTTAAAAGAACAAATCAATGAAAATCAAACTTGAGAAACCAAATCAACAATCGAAATAAACTTGAAGGAGTAAAAGTTCTCGTGGGTGCTTTTAGGTATGACAAAGACAATATTTCCTTGAATACTCTCTTGCATCAGATTAAATGCTTCCTATGAATCAAACTTTCTATTAATTCTGTTATAACTGACCCATCTTGGTTTGGTTGTTATTATTGCTATTAACAGCAAATGTATGGCACTTGCCCATTTTAGCAAAGCTAGAACGTCATCTCCTAGAAAACAATAATGGCAAAAGTCACAGATAAATCATGTCAGAAACAACAAAGCACAGGATGGTATGTGGCACCAAGTTAAAAGAGATAAAATAGCCAGATGTAATATTTGAGTGTTCAATACACGGTTCTTTAATATCCATACCATACCTATAAAAAAGCATGAGTTTCCAAGGACTACAAAAATGGATAGAGTGAAAGGACTTTGTATTATCTTGCAAGTTCTATAACCATCATTCAAGTTCTCTCTCTCTCTTTTTTAATCATGCAACATTTACAATTCAACTTGAATCTGAAGCCTGCAAGTCTGATGCAGGTGTTCCCATTTGATGAACAAATGCAGGACTTCACTCGAGCTTTTCTTCGCGATATGGTTTGTGATGGGCAATGTTTGGGTTTTTGACTCACGTTTTGGGTCATTCCAAAGAGCTCCAAAGCTGCACGTGCTCTGCATCTCCTTGCTTGCTTGGAATGCCATCACCTACTCTTTCCCTTTCCTTCTCTTCCTCCTTCTGTGCTGCTGTGTGCCTCTGATCAGCAGCCTCCTTGGTTACAACATGAACATGGCATCTTCTGATAAGGGAGCTTCTGATGATCAAATCTCACAGCTCCCAAGTTGGAGATACAAGCAAGGTCATAACAAGTTGGAGCATGGCCATGATTCTGAAGCCAGTGAAGGGCTGATCAATGAAGATCCTGTAAGTATCTAAAAAACTTAAGACTTGCATTTCAAAGATGAAGCACTTTCCAAGTTTTAACCATTAAATTCAATCTTGGCAATATATTTGGCGCGCTGTGATCTTGAATGGCATCATACAATAGATCAATAAATTAAAGTTCCCAAAACTTTACTAATTGCACTAGTTAGTTTGTCTTTGAAAATAACAAACTTGGTGTGTACTGGTTCTAGATTAAGCTGCATTGGTTACAAGCCACGAATAGTGTTGCTTCTTTCTTGGGCTTCTGTGCAATTCATGAGTCTCAAAATCTAGTTCTTGATATAATACTGTAACTTCCAAGAGATAGTAGTTTGGTATTCAATCTTTGCCAATATCTTAGATATCATGGTAAATATGTAACATGTATCAAACAACTTACAGTACCCTGTTACTACAGGATCTAATCCCATCCGGTTGTCATATAACTCCAAGTCCATAGATCTCTTGCTATCTACCTGCATCGTGCACATGTATAACCTAGATGAAATTGTATTATTTACAAGCCATGACCAATATTTCCTATTTCTTTGGGATTTGTGCTGTTTATGAAGTTCAAAATCGTGTTCTTTATATGATATTGAATCTTGAAAATTTTTAGAGGCTTATATGAGTTTGTCCTTTCTTTTTTCTGTGTGATGACAGGAATGTTGCATTTGCTTAACCAAATACAAGGACAGAGAAGAAGTGAGGCAATTACCATGTTCTCATATGTTTCACCAAAAATGTGTGGATCAATGGCTGAGAATCATATCTTGTTGCCCTCTATGCAAACAAGGATTACAGAGATAGAGAGAAAAAGAGCCAAAAAGAAAATCATTTATGCTAAATTGGTAATACTTTATACACAAAATTATATTTACCCTAACCGGGTTTCAAGTTTGGTCTGATACTTCACATGGGGTTACTAGTTACTTGAGTGAGTTTGTACATGTACAGAAGATCTCACCAGTAACCAAAACCCCAATGAAACTGTGTTTTACTGTTTTGGAGCTTACACACTATTTGGTTCCTAAGAATGGATCCATATTACTTTCCAGATTAGTGGATTGATGTGCTTGTACATTAGTTTTGTTCTGTCATTTACATGTTGTGAGACGACCATCTTCTTTATTGAATAATAAATAAGTATATATACTTTTACTTTATATTGCTCAATTTTTGCGCTGCTTCTTGTTTACAAGTGGAGTCTCCAATTTTAAAGAACCTAATGAAACCCATTAGATCTTACGTACTCCTTCCGGACTAAACTATAGGGCACATTCTAAAATCCCTACTCGATTCAAAATATAAAACATTAGGTAATCTTTATAATTATTTTTCAACTATATTCCTACTTCATTTATTACTCTTTTTTGAAAAAATGATGCATTAAAATTTCAATTATCAATATCACTGTACTTATATAGAGTATTTCATGAGAGTATAATTGGAAAGATATAAAATTTTTTGAATGATTAAAGTTCTAACTAACTATATTTTTAAAATAGTAAAGTAGTTATTAATATTTTATATTGTGGTTCAGAAGAAGTGTATTGTTAAGAAATAAGATAAACAAGGCATAGAAAGAGAACAAGGGGAATGAAGAACATAGAAGGAAAGGAAAAAGGTCAATTCACAAGTTCTATATACATTTGATAGGAGGAGTAGGCTCCACCTAATCAGTAACGAGAGTTTTTATTATTCACATCAACTTTAATTGGTTTTATATATGGTTTTTTGAGTTTTGTATAACTTTTCTGTAAAACATATTATTTGCATATCTGTGTTGATATCTCTCTCTCCTTGTATCAATGGAGAGGAAGAGAATAATATTTTAATTTCAAATATAAATTTAAATATGTAATCAACCAACTAATTACAATAATCTATTATACACATACCAAAATACGATATTAGTATATTTCCGCTAACTTACCTTCACCCCTTGGTGCAAGGGAAGGAAGTGCCCTTTTTCTTGCACCAAAATTGAAATATATAATATTTATTATATTTATATTATTATTAATTAACAGCAACTATTTCTTTCTTGCAATTTTTTATTCAAGGATAGAAGAAACAATTTTCACATATAAACTCACTTTTTTCCTTTAACTCATTTTTATTTTGTATTCTACATTCCAAGTGACCACTTGAAAAGCATACTCCGTCCATATTATGAGTAAGTTTTACCTAACACAATTTAAGAAAGTTAATTAAGTATAATAAATAATGGATAAGTTGGTCCATTAGCCAAAAAAATTCTTATGCCCATAAAATATGGACTAAATTTTTTAAAATTTAAGAATATAGCCAATTCACATTGATATATAAAGAATTTATTATTAAAAAATTAAAAAGAGTTTATCATTGATATACAATAATATATCATTAACAAATATAATAAATCAGCTATAATGTAAAATAAAATAAATGTTTGGCTACTTATTTACTTTAATCTCATAATATGGATTATATCTGTAAAAGCTTCTATAATAATTATGTTTGAAACTTAAAATATGAACTAAAATACCCTTGTAATCGTTAGCATGTGAAGGAACCAAGTTTGTCAAAGTTAAAGTTATGAAGAGTAATTTAAAAATAATATAATAAATGCTTATAAAATTTTGTAGTTTTTCTTATAAAAAACACAATGAATCGTATAACAATTTCTCCTACGGTAAAAAAAAAAAATGGAGGGAGTACTCTTTTATTCAATTGGATACAAAGAAAACCCTGTTGATTTGTTTTGATGAGCTGATTTACTAGTTCTTAAGTTTGATCCAACAATTGTATAGATTAAATTTAAGTATTTATTGATGGTAAAAAAAATTTTAAGTATGTATTGTATTGTAAAATACTAATTTTTTTGGCATATCTTATACTTGGTGTTCAAACGTTCTTACCTTGCAATACTAGAGGGGTACTTTTTCCTTTTTGTTTTCTGGTTGGTTTGCTATATAATACTCTATAGCTTATTCTATTATCTAACTGTTTTCTTCTATGAATATATGATACAACTATATGAATTTTAGAATATAAGTTAACACCTAACCAGTTTAAATTCATGCGAGTCAGATATATCATTATATTTATGATATTACCAAATAATCAAATTTGAATAAATTTACTATTTTAATGTCTTATTCAAAGTAAATTTAAAATTTTTCTTTTTTATCAAAAAAATTATCTTTTTTTAATAATGTTTTTTTTTCATGTGTATTCTCTTATTAAAAGTAATCCCGAAATATTTAATAATAGATAAAGTGGTATGCATCATCAAATTTATTCAAGAGGCTATATCATTCATTAGCAGGTTGACCTTTGCTATGACCTCCTAATAAATTGAGTCGCATTTTATTTTAAATTTTTTGTATATTTTAAGACATCGTTGATGTAGTGTTGCAATAATTGAATGAGATTGTGGCTAGTGCCTCAGACAGAGTTTGAGATAAGGCCTACTGTTTGAAACTTTTAGATAACATGACTTCATATAAAATTTATTTTATTGACTGATTACTGATGATAGATTGAAATTGAAAGAATGATTAGTGAATAAAAAAACAATATATTATTTTAACTAAAGTATATTTTTAACTCTTTAATTTTATGTGAAGTTTTAATTTAATTTTTTAATTTTGTAAAGTATTTTTTTAATCCTTTGACCCCAACATCAATAATTTCAAATGATTTTTTTGTGTCAATCATTGTTATTTTTAATAAAATTAAACTTAATATATCAACATTTGAAAATATTTTATCAATATTTAAAAATTCAATATAAAAATTTGTTGAATAAAACTAACAGTGTTAAGGTTAAAGAATTAAAAAGATATTTTATAAAGTTAAGAAACTAAAATAAAATATTATTTTTGGGTCTTTTAGAGGGTAATCAATGCAATTTTTTCAAAAATGTCATTAGTTAGGGTGTAATTAATTAATTTTTCTAATTAAGACAACATACTAAACAAGGATCAATATGAAAAAAATATATAATCTTAAATGCCGCTGACTAATTTATTGAGGGTGTAAATTAATTAAAAGTATCTTATAATAGTAAAATAATGTAAATATTAATATTTCTACCAGTTCAAAATTCAAATGTTGCCAGAATTTTATTTAGAGAAAATGACAGTTAAGTTCCACAACATTAAATTAATGACAATGAAGTCCTGATAATTTTTTTTTGAAAAATAAGTTGAAAATATTACTTTAAATATTTAATTATCTTATATTATAATAGAAATTTCTATTTGTAACTGTTTGTATAGGTGTTTACAATTCAAATTTTAGAAAATTTTGTTAGGATCTAACTAGCATTAATTTAACCTTTGCGATCTAATTGTCCTCCTCCCTTTTATTTACAAATAATACTTCGTTGGGACAACATCATGTTGATATTGAATTTTTCTATGTTTCCCCCTCAACAAACACGGTGTCTATTGCCTCATGCGGCAAATTGAATGATCACTACATTGGGAAAGACGGTGAATTTATTTGATCATTACATAGTTGCAGTATCATATTGGGAATCTTTCGCAGAAGTAAAAAGACAATACAGAACATCACAAGAAGCAAGTACTAAGTAAAAAGGCCATAGTACTAAGTTATCCTACCGCCTATGCTGGTAAGTGTGTAAATGACAAAAACCAGAAATATGACAATCACAAGAAATATCAATTTGATAAAAAATATGTCAAATTGATCATTCCCAGGTCAAAGAAGAACTATGTTATTGACCATTCACAGGCCTCATCTGCTTCAAGTGCCTATGATTTATTTACTTGATCTCAAGCTCATGCTATGTGCTAAACTCATCAATTAGACTGAAGCAAAAATGTTGGAGGGATTCACAGAGTCTGCAAACAAAGTAATGATAGGTGCACAGCAAGAAGCTCACCTTCTGGGACACAAGTATATCAGCACAGAGCATATTCTGTTGGCTCTTATCAGTGATGATGTAGGAGGCTTGGCTGCTAAAGCACTTCAATCTGCAAAGTTAGATCTCAATGTCATTAGGGAACAAGCTGAGGAGATATTTGGAAAAGGGGGTGGGTCTAGTGGCTCTTTTTCCATGGAATTACGATTCAGTTGTGGAGCACAACTGGTGCTTAAGCTCACACGAGAAGAAGCACAGAAATTGGGTGAGACTAGGATGTTTTTAGTTTGTTAATTTATATAAAGTTGTTTTGCCAAGTCAACGAAGATTAGTCTAGTTTCTAATGATCAAACTCATTTTTTAAAAGGTCTCACTACTAATATAGAAATTTCTTTTTAAGTTGTGATAACTTTAGATAATTCCCCGAACTCAACTCATCAAAACTTTTTGCAATGAGAGAGAGAGAGATGTTTGGCCAAACAAAATTTAAAGAGAAGCATATATATAAAGTGCATGGGTATTATTCAATATCCTTTTTTAAAATCAAAATAGTTATTGAGCAGGTCAAATTACTAGCTCAGGATTTATTACACTAAAAGAAGTAAACTTCCGTCAGATGAGAGTGTTAACTACATTATTTTCTGACATAATGAGTGATGTCACAGGCCATTCTTTTGCTGATGAAAGGGATCTGCTTCTGGGCTTGCTTAAAGGGTGTGATGGTAAGATAAATGGTTTGCTTCAGAATCAAGGTGTCGATGTAAACAATATCAGAGACCAGGCAAGCAACACTTCCATTTATCTGATTTTTTCATTTAGCCTATCTACCTTGGGATGGAGATTTCTTGGAAAACTAAAAAATCCTTGTTCACTTAGTTTCCTTAAATATCAAGTATTCCACAATACTATGGCAATTTAACCTTACATCTGACTTTCCGTCTTCACATCTTATCTCATTCCAAGCTCTTTTTTTTTTTTTTGGTGGAATATTTAACTTCTAATCGAGCTGTCTGTCCAAATAATTTCTTGTGAAATTATAAAATATTTACACAAAACATCCCTAGTTTTTTGTTATCACTGAAGATTTCCTGTTTATTTAAGCAGGTAAGTAAACATATGGCAGATGAAAAGGAGAAAGCTTATAGCTTGAATGATCAGTTTGCGCAAGGTTGCAGTAATGAGAATAGTCAGAAGCCATCTCTTACTGTGCCTATAAAGATGGTTGCAGGTGAGAAGGAAAAACCTTCTTACTCGAATGATCAGTGTGCACAAGGTAGTAATGAGAATAGTCAGAAGCCAACTCTTAGTGCGCCTATAAAAATGATTGCAAATGAGAAGGTAAAAGCTTCTTGCTCGAACGATCAGTATGAACAAGGCTGTAGTAATGAGAATAGTCAGAAGCCAATTCTTCCTGTGTCTATAAAGATGATTGTAAGTGAGAAGGAAAAGGCTTATAGCTCAAATGATCAGTGTGCACAAGGTTATGGTAATGAAAATAGTCAGAAGCCAACTCTTATTGTGCCTATAAAGTTGATTGCAAGTGAGAAGGAAACATCTTCTAGCTTGAATGATCAGTGTCCGCAGGGTTTTAGTAATGACGATAGTCAGCAGCCAACTGTTAGCGTGCCTATAAAGATGATTGCTGGTGAGATGGAAAAAACTCCTAGCTCAAATGAACAGTGTGCACAAGGTTGCAGTAATGAGAATAGTCAGAAGACAACTCTTAGTGTGCCTATAAAAATGATTACAGGTGAGGAGGAAAAAGTTTTTAGCTTGAATGATCAGTGTGCACAAGGTTGTAGTGATGAGAATAGTCAGAAGCCAACTCTCAGTATGCCTACAAAGATGATTGCAGGTGAAAAGGAGAAAACTTCTACCTCAAACGAACAGTTTTCACAAGGCTGTAGTGATGAGAATAGTCAGAAGCGAGCTCTTAGTGCACCTACAAAGATGATTGCAGATGAGAAGGAAAAAGGTTATGGCTCGAATGATCAATGTGCACGAGGTTGTAGTGATGAGAATAGTCAGAAACCAATTCTTAATGTTTCTATAAAGATGATTGCAGGTGAGAAGGAAAAACCTTCTAGCTCAAATGATCAGTGTGTACCAGGTTGTGGCAATGAGAATAGTCACAGGCCAGCTCATAGCGTGCCTATAAAGATAATTAATATGATGCCAGCTTCTGAGAACATAGAGGCTGGTTCAAAAAAAGTTGACAAGATTATGAATTACCAAACACCAATTCTAGATATGTTTGGGACCAATCTGACAAAACTGGCACAGGAGGCAAGTCTTTAACTGTCATATTTTGAAACTTCACTGCAATATTATCTGCACTAACTCTTCATTTCATAGTAAATCCTACAAGGTTTATCCATTCACGTCACTGAATGTAGGAATTTAAACTAATGTAATGCGTTAATAGTGTCATGTGCAATGATTTGTGCATCTATATGAATAATTGTGCGCTTGTTTTCTGGATAAGCCTATTAATGCAACTTAAGCCATGAAGAGAATCAATCCAGAAGCTAACTTATTGGGTGAAATTTCTTCATACGGTTGATTGTTGATTATGTGGAACAAATCAATACCAGAAGATTGCTAAATGAAATCTTACTTCTTTATAGTGTAAGCTTAATCCTTTTGTGGGAAGGCACGATCGAGTGGAACGCACAATTCAGATTTTCTGTAGACGGACAAAAAACAATCCTTGTCTTGTTGGAGAGCCAGGAGTTGGGAAAACAGCTACCATAGACGGCCTTGCTCAAAGAATTCTGAGTGGATCTGTTCCTGAAAAATTAAAGGGAAAGAAGGTTATAAGTATTAAATCTCACAATTTTCTTTTGTATAAAAAGTTCAGATAAGCTGGGGCTTGTCAGGACCAAGGTAGGCCTCATTTTATGGTGTTGACATGAATAGTAATCTTAAGTAGTATATTCTTATTTGTTTCACAGGTAATTAAATTGGATCTGGCTCATTTTTTATATGAAACATCATGTCAAAAAACACCTGAAGAGAGAACAAGCTGTTTGATAAAGGAAATTGCAGAAAGTGGAGATGTTATTCTCTTTATAAACAAGGTTCATTCCTTCTTTGACGCAACAAACAAAGGAACCCACAAGTTTTCATATATTCTGAAGCGTGCACTCCAAAGTGGTACCATACAGGTTTGGACATATGACATATATTTCTTCTGATCCTTTACTTTGTGCAGTAGTAGAGTGCCATTATACTTGATTTAAAACCTGAAACAGCTGCTACTTTGTTAGCATATTGTAATGAACTTCATTTTGTACATGAAAAGTGCATTGGCTCTGCAACTGTGGATGAGTATAGAATGCACATTGAAAAAGATGAAGCCCTGCAAAGAATATTTCAATCGGTTGATGTTGCCGAACCATCTATTGAAGAGACTGTGAAGATTCTGAAAGGCCTTCGTGGTATGTACGGCACTCATCATAATGTCCTATACACAGATGAAGCTCTTGAGGCCGCTGCAAAGTTGTCCCAGAAGTACATATGGTACAAATAACTTGTCCTGATAATGATTAACTTGATGGCCAAAATATCTGTGTGGTATTGCTGTCTGCAAATAGAAAAGAGAATTTTCGTTCTTTGGCTTATTATTCATACCAGAATGGAAATAATTTGATCACAGTGTCATTGACACCTTAGCTATAATTTTAGGTCATAGAAGATGCTTTAATATGATTATTTACCATATAGTATAAGCCTCTCGATTAATAAGAATGATTTTATTGAAAGCATTTAGACCTGATGTATTGAGTATATATTGTCCAAATCATTGATGATGCTTAGTATTTTCATATATTTGTTTATATCGTTTTTAACATATTTGTATATAAATTTCAGTGGTAGGTTCTTACCTGAGAAGGCAATTGACTTGATTGATGAGGCTGGATCATATGTTCAACATTTTCCGGCAAAGGTACTTGCCTCATCAGATGAAGCGATAAACCTTGGAAAATAGCTTAAGCAATTTAACCTTAGAAAGTTGTTAAGGCATATCATTGTTTTACAAGTTACAAGTTAGCTTGTGTGTCACATTGAAAACTGTCAATGCATGTTGCAAGTTTCAACTTCTACAACCACAAAGGTTTGCATTTGTGTCTGGGGCACATTTTTTGGAGGAAAGTCAGTCCAGGCAAAAAGTATGATAAAAAAGAGCAACTTTTCTTTGTGTATAATCGTAGACAGTCAATTCTTCTCACATATCTTACAACGTCAAATTCAAAGGTTGACTTTGCACTGTTTTGGCACAGGACAAGAGAAAGCTTCGCAGTTTTTTTCCTGAAGTGACAAAATCTGATATTCAGCAAATAGTGTCATCGTGGACAGGCATCCCAGTGAGAGATGTATCAAGGGAAGAGGGTGAATGCCTCCTCAATTTGGAAGAAAAGCTTCGAAACTATGTTATTGGACAGAATGAGGCCATCAACACTGTATGTCGAGCCATTCGACGCGCCAGTCTAGGTCTTGGACACATGACAAAGCCAATTGCTAGTTTCCTGTTCACAGGACCCACTGGTGTAGGGAAGATTAAACTGGCAAAAGCACTGGCTACACAATATTTTGGTTCAGAAGATGCCATGATACGGATTGATATGAGTGAGTGCATGGACAGACACAAAGCATCTAGAATAGTTGGAGCTCCTCTGGGTTATTTTGGCTTTCATGAGGCTGGTCAGTTGACTAAAGCTGTTAGGCATAGGCCTTATTCACTTGTCCTTCTTGATGAGATAGACAAGGCACATTCTGATATATTCAACCTCATGCTTCAAATTCTTGATGATGGTAAACTCACAGATGGCCAGGGCCACACAGTAGACTTCAAGAACACACTCATCGTAATGACTAGCAGCATGCGCCATAATAAAATGAATGAGGCAGAGAGTAACTGTATAAAGAAGCTAGTAATGGAGGAAACGAAGCAGTATTTTAGACCAGAGTTTCTGAAAAGATTGGATGAGATAATTGCGTTCAACGAACTAACAAAGATGGATGTGAAGCAGATTGCAGATTTAATGCTGAGACAAGTTTCTGAGAGAATGAAAAGAAAAGATATTGAGCTTACTGTAACACATAAGTTCAGTGACCATGTAGTTGAGCATGGTTATGAGCCAAGCTATTGTGCTAGGGCATTGAAAAGAGCCATTTCAAGATTGTTGGAGGATGCATTGGTGGAGAAGATGCTAACAAAAGAGATCAGGAAAGGAGACTCAATTGTGGTTGATGTTACTTCTGATGGAAATGTTGTGCTCAAACATAAGAATGATTTGGTGAGTTGTATCAATTTAAATAGGAATATTGCAGCTGTGGGAAAAAGAGGAAAAGATAATGGAGTCACGTGCAATTTGATGAGCAAGATGTTTGACCTGCTAGGGAATCAAAAAAGCCCATAGCTTGATCACAGTTACACTTAAAAAAAAATCTGTTTTGTTGCAAAGATATTCTGATGGAAAATGGAAGAAGATTCCTACTAGAAGTAGGAAAGCATAGGATTTGGTTGGATTGATTTTTTGTTTTATTAGTTATTTGCATTTTAAATTCTGAGGATTTAGATTATCTTTTAAGTTAATTTAGTTTCAATGAGGATTTATGCCATTATCCTATCTTATCTGGAATTATCTTTACTTCAAAATTTAGTATTTAGTTTATTTTAAGATTAGATTGAAATTTGAATTTTATAAATAGTCCTAAGGTTTCTTCCATTGTAAGAACCTTTTTACCTCTACCTCCTTCCCCTTCTATCTCCCTCCCCTTAGCTGTTTTACATTACATTCCTAAGTTTCCAATAATCATAAGGTATATTGACTTGGAGCTTTGGATCAACTAAAAAATTAAGACCTCAAAAGAATCTGAATCTTGCAACCAAGGTCAACCTTATAAGCATTCACTGAAAAGGAACAAAAATTCACCTCATCAAATCCATCCGCAACTAGTTTTTGCATGAAAACTGACCAGAATTTTATGCAAAATTCAGCATACCAAAATAAACCAAGATGTGGTGTTTCAGAACTAAGCCACATTTTGAAATCATGAACCATGCGGTTCATGATTTCAAAATATGACTGGACAGAATTTTCATAGCAACATAAACTATTTTTAACAGAATTTCAGCACCACAGGAGTGAACCATGCGGTTCTGTTTGACCTGTGTGCCACATTAATTGCCTTTTTGTTATGTTTCCAGCACCACATTAATTCATCATCATTTTGGGACTTGCATGAATTTGGTTTTGAACTTAGAATATTTTGATAACCTTATTTTGAAGTGAGGTGTTACAAGTGTTGTGCAAACGGAACTCACATCAATAAAGTACATGCATTATCTTCTTAGATAACCATAACCTTTCTTATAAACCAAACTTCCTAACAAAATTTTGACCACCCTTTCTTTAATTTTCTCACCGACAATAATTTTCAGTTATATCTTTTTCTTTTCATTTATTAAGACATAGACCTATTTCTTTTGTATATCCTCTTGCACAAACTTACAGTGTCACCTATATCAACAATAACCATTCTTGTGACCTCTTTGTCATCACTTTCTTGAGATACCAGAACACAAAATTTTGATTCAAGTAAATTCCATCCCAATAAAAACAACACCTTCTCACCACACAAATAAAAAAACTAATTTTCATATATTACATTAACCATTAAATCAGCTTGTGAACTTGCATAACCTCATTGTACGCCTTCTATCTTATATTTCGTGATCGTCACTATACAATGTACAGGGCAATCCACGTTGAAAAAACAAAGGAGCTTTTGGCCCAGCAACCTTGGCTACTGACCAAGGAGGCCACATTCTAACACAAGCCTGCAGTGCATCAAATTTCTACATTTTTTTTTTTGGGCTCGCACACTCACAAGTTTTTTTTTTTTTTTTTGCTTTTGCACCCAGTATCTGAATGTGTTTGGGTATACTAGGTTTATTGTTTGCCCAACTCACTCCAAATTAATCTGAATTCTTGTTTAGGTAGAGCCCTCTTTGAAGGGTTTTCGTGGGTACCACTAGCAAGACATGCTTTGCATACTCAGCTGCGCTGCTGCATATTTTAAAACTTGAACTCGAGACTTTAAATTATGCTGTCCAGGTCTCTAACTATTAAGACAAGTGCCCGTTGCTCACACAAGTTTGTTTAACAACCACATTAGAACCTACACAGCTATCATATAATCGCTTGGTTTTCCTAAACGGCGCAGACCAGAACAATACACAGTTAACCCACAAGACTCCACAAAACACAAGGTTTCACTATAAGTGTCATCGAGCCGAGCAAATAATGACTCCCACTCGCCCTAGTAACAATCATGAAACATATATAAATAAATCTTAATTTTAGAGGGAACTTACAAATGCCTCTATATATTTAAGTATTTGAGTAATTAAGTAGTAGTTGGTTGGTATAAAAAAGAAGTACTAGTTGAAATAACTTTAACTACCCCTAGTGCATCCGAATGCCCAACAAAGTCCCTACCACATTCATGCACAGAATGGGTGACCTTACGCATTCATTTCTTCCGTTAACGACTTGCACAATATTAGTGATAACAAATAAAATCATAGTTTTTTATATATTTTTTTATTACAATTAGAGGCCAAAATCAAATAACTGAAAGGAAAAATATAAGAAAATCAACCCACACCCATGAGACTGTAATTAAGATCATAGCCCATGAGGGCCATACACTGTAAAAGTGCTAACATGATTGTGTTTAGCTAATGGTCTTAACCGTGCACATTTCGTGCACTTTTGTTTCTTTCATTTTATAATTGAATATACGCTGAGCATCGCACGGGATAAAATTATGAAAAGGAGTTTGGATGTAAAAGTCATTTTGTCTTTTCAATAAATGTTATGCTATGATCATGTTTCACATCAAAGGATTTTTCTAGGGATTTTGATGAAAATTTCATGGTTAAAATGGACAAGGAAATTGATCTAAGTGGAAGCATGTAAGTTTTTAGCTGGTTCACTGCCACATGATTCAAACAGTCAACATTGTTTAAGAAAAGAAATTTATTTTGCAAAATAGATAAATAAAGTAAAATAAATAAAAAAAAAGGTAAATGAGCAAATCACCTCTTGAATTTTAAGTTCAATAACATCATAGGCTTTGAACTCGTTTATTGTACAAATTATTCTCCCAACTTTTAAAATTAGTGCAATCTAACTATTAATATTAACAAAAATTAATTTTAATCATTAATTGATTAAAAAATAATAAAAAATGACCCAAAGAAGACAGAAAAAGAATGATTTTTTTTTATTTTTTGGGTCTTTATTTGTAATTTTTAAATTTTTTATAATAATTTTTAATTTTTTTATTTCTAAAATTATTTTCTAATTAACTAAAAGAGAAAATTAATTTTTGTTAAAGATAAAAGTTAAATTATACTGTTTTTAAAAAATAAAATAAATAATTTATATAATAAATAATTTCAGGTATTACTAGAACTAAAATTTAAAAAATAATTTATCCATTTACCCATAAAAATGACTACATAAATTAAACATTTCTAAATAAAAGTTCATATCACCTTAATTTAAACAAAATCCGAAAGCACTCATTATTGAAGCTCCTGTATTTGTGCCGTGAGAACTTGTGGTTGAAAATTGTTGAAGGGATAAATACCACGTTTTTTAAAATGGTAAAAACCCATAGCATTTCTGTTATTACCCAAAAATTGTGGCTTCATTCTTCTTTCCCATCATCTGAATCTCCGAGAAACGTAGATTGAAGCTCTTAATTCAACTTTCCTCATTTGCAGCATACAGGACAGCACAATTCACCTTTCTTCCTTTCATTTGTAGGTCAATCTCACTCATTATTTCCTTTAAATCTATCTTCGTTCAAATCATCTTCTTCAACTGTTCATTTGCTTTACGATTTCGATCTGATTTGTCTCCTAATTTGCCATTGATAGCTTTCTCAAACACCAAGAATATGGAGCCAAATATGGTGCAGAAGCCCCCAAACATCATGATAAAGCCATTGGACGAATGTAAAATGAAAATTTCAGATCTGGATTTGATCAATGACATTAAGAAGATTAATTACTCGGATTATTTATCATCGCCGTCCTCTCCATCAGGCATAAGCAAGCTATCTTCAAATGGAAAGTGGAGCTGTCTGTGCTCGCCGACCACCCATGCCGGCTCCTTCCGGTGCCGGCACCACCGCGCTTCATCCGCCCTAGTTCGCGGCAAATCCGTCGGTTCCAACCTTTCTGAATTAGCTTCTAAATCAGGTCGAATGAATGATTGACGATGGCGATCAACACTAGCTTGTTAGCAAATGTCAAATATTAGTGTCTTAGACATACAATTCGGTCAAAAAAACACTGACATACACCCGAAAAAATTTCAAAGATTTGAATTACTTCAATTGCCAATTTAATTATCTAATATTATTTAATTCATTTGTTTGTGAATATTGATAATGAAGCACAAAAGCATTTGATTTTTTTTTCATTTAATTTTGTTTTTAATCATACATCATGGCCATTTCTATCATGCTACATAGGGTATTCATGAGATCAGACTGGACTGAGACATCATGTCTTGTGTTTCATAATGGTCGAGACTTAATTTTTATTTCATATTTCATCCTATTTCATTAGAAATCCGAATGAGATTGAAACATCTTACCATCTCGATAAAGTGGACAATGTGGGATAAAGGTCTTAATAATAACATTCATTAAAATTTTAAATCACATAATTTATTAAATTTAAAATTAAAACAATACAGGTATATAAATCACAACAATTTAAGTGTATAACACATTATGATAGCAATTATAAGTAAGCTTTAAACTATAAGAGTAACAACAACAGATAAGTCAGGTACAACATCAAATCATTAATTTTTTTTTTAGTTGAGATATGTTAAGTTAGTTACTTTTCTAAAAATAAAACAAAAAATACAATATAAACAAAAATTATCAAATAAATAGATATAAAAATAAATTATATTAATATAATTAATATATTATAAAAAAAAATATGACCTTGCATTGCTTACTCTATGTTATTAAAATTATCAACACAAAAAAATTTTAATTTTAAATAAGAATTACATGTATTGAAATTATAATTAATATATTTAATGTATATTTTTAAAATAAAAAATATATATATATATATATATATATATCTCTCTCTCTCTCTCTCTCTCTAATATTCGAGACAGAGCTAAGATAGAACTAGATTGATTGAGATAAGTATAAGTTAAACACCCCTAACATAGTTATGCAAATGAGTGAATTGATGCTTTCATGAGGACTCGTAAAGAAGGCAACTGTCAAGTTTTATATTTTAAGGAAATTAGTCTGGGTCATGTTGATTGCATTGATTTGAAAATTTAGTTGTACTGTATGCATGTCATTAAAAAATCAAGGGCAAAAATGTTTAAGAAGCCGTTGGTTAAGAATATTCAATAATTTAAAGTAAAAAAAAGTGTACAAATGCTCATGAAATTCTTTTTTTTCCAATGCATTCATGATCAAATAGTTAAAATTCAAAGACATTGTTGAGTGTTATACTATAGTAGTAGTTTTGGTCAAAAATACACCAAAAAAATAATTTCATAAATACTCGTATATTTTTTCTCACATTAGACTTTGAATATTCTTAAACAATGAGTTTTTGAATATTTTTTTTCCTTTTACTCAAAAATTGAAGTTTTTAACTATTTATATTACATGTATATAGAAAGGATGTCAAAACTTCTATGGTACTTTTATAAGGGCACACTTTCCGGAACTTGAGACTGTAAAACAGACTCTGGGGAAAAAAAAAATTCAATTAAGACAAAATTAGAGTAATTAATTTTTTTTTCAATTTTATTTCTTATTTTATTTATTATTTTTTGAATTCTTATATAATTATTTTGTTATGATTATTAATTATGAAGAATAAAATTAAAAACTTATATAATTTTTAACGATTTTAAAAATATACTCCCTCTGCTCAAAAATGTAAGGTACTTTTAACCGAATCTCACCCCTCAATAAAGTAGTTACCTATTTTCAAACTAATCATATCTTTTTATATTTACCCCTATTAAACACCCTATAATAAATATAAAGTCATTATTAATAGGGACACTTTTAAAAAAAACAATGATTACACATTAAAAGATTAAAAATGTCTTATATTTTTTAACGTCTAACTCCTCAAAAAATATTTTATATTTTTAATAGAGTGAGTAGCTATCTTTTTTAGTAAAATTAATTTTCACTCATGTTAAGTACAAAGGAGAGTGTATGCACACATAGGTGATGTTATGATATAACCAACTCCAAAAATATCAAGAGGCATGGATATGGCGGCTGAATTTTTCCTCTAATATTCTCTGCTAAGAAATAAGCGACTCTCTCTATAGTTTTTTTTTTCTAAAAAAATTATACTTTTGTTTTTTTATTAATGAAACAAAGGATAATCTGGATTTGTAAATATGATCCTATTGTTTCGGTTTGCATTCTCTTCACATTTGGAAATTAGCACACGAATTTATATTTAAAAAAAGAAAGAAAGAAATTTGCACACGAATCCTTTCTGATTCATTTAGCGCAAATTTTAGTTAGACTGTCTATATTTAATTTGAATTACCTAAATTTAGTTCTTTTTCATGTTTCTAATCAAAATCAGTATCTTACAACTTGATAATCAAATAGTTAAACAGTTAACTTAAGCTTGTTTATCTTTAAATTTTTGATTCCACCTCTAATCTCTGGGGCTATTATTACCAATATTAGCCTTAAAAATATTTTGAAAATGTCTTTAATATATTTATTTAATACAACTATATATATTAAAGCTCAAACTCAACTTATAAGATAAGTTAATTTAACTCTTTCAACCAGTTAAATTAAACACCCCTCAATTGTTGACATTTAATTTTGTTTAGTATAAAAGAGAGAACCTCACGTGAGTTAGGTTTCTAAAGCTTCCTAAAATAAAAGCAGATTTTTGCATCTCAGAAAGAAAGCACCCCTAGATTATGTGCTAAAATTTAGGTGAGCGAACGAAATAGGTTCTTTCTTTTTCTTATATCAAGGAAATGCACAAACATTATATTCATAACTATACTTTCCACAGTTTAACTTTCACAAAGATGTGATGTCAATGGATCTTAACATTTGATAATACACAGTAGAATTCGTTTTTTAGTCGTATTTGAAGAAAAGTCAAGATAGCCCCATGAATTCAGTTAAATAATCAAGGGGAGGTAAGATACGGTATAATTTCAAGGCTCACAGCATTCCCAGATTTGGAAAAAAAAAAAAAAGAAAAAGAATAGCCGATATAATACATGCAAGTCTTGAATTTTTTACAGAGAACGTGATCGGTTTCAATAGAAGAAAAAAGATGCTCAAAGTTCTATTTACTTTTAAAAAAAAAGAATACTACCATAATTTTCTGGATTCTACAAGAGATTCAGAGAGAATTTTTGCCAAAACATTTGATTTGAATAAAAAAATGACAATTATGCCATTTATAAATTTTAGTGATATAAAAATATATATTTTAGCACATCATAACAGTATCCACCTTCGTAGCCGTTACAAGCAAAATCAGCAGGTTACATGATTAAATTACTCAGAAAAATAACCTCAAAGAAGGAAGGGGGATTTCTTTTTTTTTTTTTTTTTTTTGGTGGAGGGGCATTGTTGCTAAAAAAGCCTAAGCGTGAAAGAGACGGTGTCTGTACACTGACTGACCAGCAACCACTGCTCATTTTGTTGGTCTAGTCCATGTTGTCTCGGCAGTAATAATATTACCATAATAAACCTGCTTCGAGGTCTCATCCCAATAAGCCTGGAAACAAAAAAAAAATTGAAAAAAAAAAAACAAGTGAGAGAGAGAGAGAGAGAGCTCAGATCAGGGTCCCCTTATACTCGAAGACATCAAGTCAACAAGGAGGAGACCTCAAAACGTTGTCCACTTGTTTGCTAGTACAAACATTGTACAGAAAAATTGCATGAAGGCAATAAAGGCAGAGTACGCTAATGCAATGTTTGATCGGTAGAAAAAAAATTCCAGAAAAGAAACGCGAGATGCACCTATCTCATTGTATTTCTAGGTACATTTCTCAATTCTATCCTAAAAAACATCCTCCCGTGCACCAAACACTGACTAACTGCATGTTTTGTACACAGAAAAATATAGGATAGGTATAGTTATCATTTCCTTTTTAAAAAACACTTCTCTGCCTACCAAACATTGCAGTAAGTGTCAAGAAGTTAACAGAGGTATCCTCAAAAGTCAAAAAGTAGGAAAAATATGCAGCAAAAGTTAGCGCTGTTAAAGTAGAACCAAGTAGCTGTGTTGAGGAATGCTTTCAATTCAGAAAACTCAAATCAGACTGCAAGCAGAGAAGCATGCTGCTTCCAATTGAATACAAAATAATTTCCTGTTGAACAAATAGCACATTCTGGCCAAACCAAAGAACAAATAGCACACTATGACAAAGCGTACACACCTGCCAACCAGATGGAAGATCCTTAGACAAGTCACTCAGATCAGGTTGCTGATTTCCCACAACTGTATCTTGTGGCCTGTCAGCAGATTTACTTGCTGCTCGTGCCCTCTTGCGCTTGACCCTCTCCCGCCTACAGAAAATAAAGAATGTGGCATCATATAATAAGTCACAAGAGAAGAGAACGTGTTGAAGCACAATGGCTAATGCACATGAAACTAAAATGATATTGGACTCTTACCAATCACCACCCAGAGGCTGAAAATTAGCATTATCTTTGGCTTCTCCACTTGCAATTTGCTTTGCATGCCACTCCTAAAATTGAAGGAACATGAGAAACAAGAAATGGGATGGCTCCAGTATTCAGTAAGGTAAAACCACGTGTGCAAACCTCTATTTCCCTTTGGCGCTTCCGTTCTAAGATCTCAAGAACACTTTCGGGTTCTTCCTCCTCTTCAAGCAACTCCTCTTTGGCTGCCTTCCACTGATACAATAAAATTGTATAAAAACTATTTTTTTATATGAAATTACTTTCGAAAGCAATAAAATAAAAGACCTAGCATCTAAATTGACACTAAAATACCTTGTCCACTAAACTTGAAACTTTCTTATTAGACTTCAAGGAGGAGCCAACTGCAACTGCACGCTTTTTACTACGACCAACTGAGAAATGAACAAGATTAGTATTACTCAGACAGACCAATATCTAAGTTTGTAACAAACGGTATCCAAAATTCCAGATCCAGGTGTACCATTCTGGTCACAATCAATAGATACAGGAAGAAAACAGAGGACAGTGTTGTGCAGACTAGTTCAACAATCTCACATGACTGAATCTCACCACCAAGGTCCAAGATGGAAAAGCATTGCTAAAACAAACGAATCAATTAGATAATGGAGGGCAGATGAACGATCAACCCTGATATCAATAAGAAATTGTACTGGCTCTGATTAACTTAGAAAATCATATCACATTAGCACAAATTTAAAACCAACATATGTTTCATGAAGCCAAAAATTGTCAACGCAACCAATATATCAGGTTACTAAACCTTAGCAGATTAGATGACAGTGGGATGTTAAGCAAAGTCAATCAAACCAGTAAAGCTCAGCATGTTTAGAAATTCACCTTTGTTTTGCACTTTAGCAACTGATGATAAGGCAGTACTTCCACCAGCAGATACAGTGTTGGCTGATGCCAGAGAAATACCCTCATCAACTGAAACAGCTGCAGGTCCTTTGACGCTGGCTGAGGTGGAGGGAACATCAGCTGATGCCATGTCCACCACACCAGTAACATCAGAAACGCTATTATTAATATGAGGTAAGGAGCTAGGACCAGATCCTGCAAAGATTTATTGGAACATTTTCAATAAGAAACAACCATGTGGAACTAGCATATCAAGAGGTCAGAGGAATTCACTAACTACTGATAGGACAGGAGACATACCATCCTGAAGCTCATAATAAGCTATAGGCTCTGTAGAGTTCATTATAACTTGGGTGCTTTCACCATAAGTAATGGGAACGGCACTATAGAAGAGCTGTGGATGTGGCATAGCAATTTGACATCCTTCAGCATGCCCATATATAGTACTGCTTGGGACTTCAGCAGCCGCCTGCCCATAATACTCAGAACTAGCACCTGGATAAGCTAGATTGTATTGAGGGTAAGAAAGTTGCCCAGCCTCTGGGTAAGATGGGAGAGCAGGATACATAGACACTGATGGCTCATCAGGTGGTGGAGGGGGCATTTGTTCGTCATCAGGTGGGGGAGGGGGAGGCACCTGTTCATTATCAGGTGGCGGTGGAGGTACCCATTCATCATCTGGAGGAGGAGGAACAACAAATTCATCCTCTGGCAACAGAGAATGGTGGTCAGCAGATAGATTCACCTCCACTGGTTGCTCTGTTTGCCCAGGCACGTTTACCACAGTCCTATTGCCTGAGGAATTCATATCTTCAACTTCCATGTCCACATCCATATCAACATCTTCTCCAACATTAGACTCATGTGTATGAGTTGATTCCTCAGGAGGTACCATAGCATCAACTTCTTTATTGTAGCTTACACCTATTTCCAAGTAGCTACCAGGAGATGTTGCAGGAGTGTGCTCGGCATTGATAGATGGTTTATTGCACATATCTTTATCACCAAAAACTGAACCATCAACCTGAGAAGTATTAGAAAATTCAGAGGTAATGAAGTTTTTGTTCTCAGTACCATCTGCTTCAGATTCATGCCCACTGCCTCCTTGATGTCCACCAAATCCTTCAGAGACATGGACATGTGTATCCTCAACTTCATCATGTGCTGACTTAAAAGTCTGCAACAAGTCATCATTAATTATGCTTTCAAGCTGCTTAATCCGCCTATCAGAATGCACCCAGAATGGAAGCAAAGATGATCCATGGGATGCAAGGGACCTAAAATCAGAGAGCCTGATCTCAATCTCCAAAATATATTTTGACAAGGAGTCCTGACCCTCCAGATAGTCCTTTGACCTGCATAATTTGATTGTTAAAAACAGGGGGGGAGAAAAACAACTCTCTGATTCCAAAAAATAAATTATTAAATTAAAACAAAATATCATAAACAAATGAAGCCAAACAGCTACGCATATATACTTACTTTTCCAGTGACTTAAGCCTCTCTAATAAGCTCTCACTCTGTTGAACAAGACGAGAAGGAAAACTAATGTCTGCTTGTTCTACCTCCACACTGGACTTCGAAACTAATAAATGGTCCGCACCATAAGTTGCACTTGAAAGACCGTCATTCCTATATTCTCCATCCCATCCACTAGTCTGGGACCCATGACTGTATGCTCCTCCATTAGAATTCACTGTGGTCCTTAAGGAACTGCCAGATTCTAGAGCAGCTAAAGAATCTGGCACTGCAGCAGAGGACATTTTGGAATTATCTACACCAACAGCTGCACTCTGAAAGTTATTATTGACAGAAGCAAGAGCTGTCTGGTCACAGACCGGCTCAACTGTCTGGGCCAAACCCTGTGGCACTTCCCATGAAGTTTCTCCAGTTTCAATATTCCAGTAATAATAGCGTTTGCTCTCCTCATGCATTACCATCTTCCACCCCAGACTAACATCAGCAATAACTTGTTCATTGGAAATTTCAGAAACAGTAGTTTGGTCTTTGGAGACCATTTCGTTTGGCAAACAAGCAGCACCAGCAGCAACGCCTTCTGTTTTATCACAGCCCTCAACATCAAAAGTAGAATTTTGTGATGCTCCCTGTGGACCATCAGTCTGAGCAACATGATCTTCCAAGTCATTGATATCCAAATCTTGAGATCCTTCTTCAGGTGAAACCTTAGCCTGACACAATAAAGCAGATCACAATGATAAGTTATACAACATTAACTTAAGATTAATAATCGAGACATACCACCAAGCTTGTAATGCCTAATCCATCAAACATACAATACATGTCCAAATTTATACAATATATCAAAATATTTGAAACAGGTTGCCACAGCGCCTCCTCCACTATAGGGGAGTTAAACAAGACAATAACTAAGACCATGAACACAAGTATAAACAACATATTCTCTGGTAAGGAAAATCAAACTTTTGGCCCTAAAAGTTAAAACATAAATGCAGGTAGCAGAATACCTCTTCATTCAACATGGAGATCTGCTCCTTGGCATCATTAGGCCCTTTACTTGATCCCCCATCCACTTCTTCATCACTATATTGACCAAGCAACAAGAGGGGATTCTGTGACTGTTGACCTGAAGAAACAATACTAAAATGTCAGAAACTATGAACTCAACTGTTCATTAACCATGTGATAGCCTAATATCTGAAAAGAATGTGAGAGATTATAAATAACAAGTGCTCCTAATCACAAGGAAGACAAAGAAAACGTCAACAAGTAAATAAATTCACAAGCATTTAGCTTGCGTTATCAGAGTCACCTGTTACAAATGGAAAAATGTCAGTAGGGCATAAATCAAATAAAGCCAGAAACATACGAACCAATACAAACTTTTCTAGAGCCTGGACCTCAGATATCCTTTGGTGCTGCCAATAAATGGGGGAATGATCATTCATAATTTCACTGTGGCAGGACCGACCTCATCTGAAATGAATGTTCCCAAGACCACAGCAGTCCTACACAGTCTGAGAACAGATTCTTGGGGAAAATAACATAACATGTCTTGCATATACAGTTCCATATTTCCAGCAAAATAATGTTGATCACTCATGTCCTCTCTATATACTCCTTTTGAAGAAAACTGACAGAACCCACCTGAAGAAGAGGGTGAATTGGGTAACCCCTCACGATTTTTTGAGTCAGTATCCCCTACGTCATCATGTAAAGTGGAGCCACCCAAATCTCCTGGAAAGATTAAAAAAGTGTATTAAATTATATTGTCAAAAAAATCCGTCAGCTAACAGCTTCATCAATGACCACATACATGTAAATACACACACGTACACATACATGCTGTGATGCATTCTTTGAAGATTAATTTGTAGACCTAAAAAGCAAGGACATGAAAATACAAATAAACTGTCACAGAACTTATTTTTCTTCTTTGGACAAAACAAAATCATCAAATAATAGGAATAAAAACTCGTGTCTCCTGTTTCAAACTTCTAGAATGTGGAAAAACCCTTAAAAAATGCCAAACTGGACAACTCCCTAAAATCAAAACCTGATTAATTGAACGCATCACCATCAACAAATCAAATATCACAAACTAAAGAGCCTGATCAGGACTATGTAGCACATTAAAAACATGCGTACAAGCATACAATAGTATATAAGTTATGATATGATAGCAGTTATCTTTAGATTAACGAAGTTTGTTGTGTTATCTAAATATTTCCCCATGTTAAATGGAGTTTTCAAATACAATTAGACCTCTCAATGGATCCAATCTTGAGGAATTCCACTGAAAACAAACACAACACTTTGACAAGAGCAATTCTTGTACATGATGAACATAAACTGTACACATGAGTGACATCCAATCTTGCGTTAAACCGTATAAAACAAATTCTCCATGGATATAATACTCTGAGATTTAGTTTCAATTTATTGTTCAAGCTCCAAGAGAAAGCATCAAATGCATTACGTTTAAAAATGTGTTAAATGCCTTTTGCGCTCCAGTCAAGAAAAACAAGAATCTATTGTCATTCTCACAAACTCATCCAAACACAAAGCCATGCAAACTTTTACAAAACATTTAAGCAACTTAGCCATCACTCACGGATGGAAACAAAGAACTGTCAGAAAAACCATAAATTGCACCCCAAGCCTCTGATTTCCAAATATTTGGGTTCTAAAATCAAGGAAATTTAACAAAGCAAGAAAGGGGAAAAAGAAAGAGCGCGTTAATTCGCGTGTAAAATAGGAAACGATGGCGAATACCAGAGGGTTCCGCAAAGAGATCGAGTTTGACCCTGCGACCAGCGTTGCTTAAAGCAGCGAGACGACGTTCCTTTCTCTTGCCCATTCGATTTAAATTCGAAATTTCAGTTAAACCTTCGGGTGGATACCTTTCGTAGGCACTGGTAAATTAGGGTTTGGAGAGTTTCAAGTTACAGAAGCCACTGTTCTTTTCTTTCGTCTCAATACAAACGAAAGCTCAAAAGGAGGGGAACAAGGTCGGCAACGTAGGCGCTAATGCATTCCCCTCCGGTTTATTGCCCGCTAGTGCGCACAGTGTTCAGAAAGAAAGCAGACTGTCTCCAATTACTCGCATCTGGACCATTCGTGAGATCCTACGGAGCCCACTTAGCGACGTCCGAAATTATGCTCCAGTGAGACTAATGAAATATTCAATCTCCCAATTTTTTATTAAAAAAAATTACTTCCAGTATTTTTAAAAAAAATCTATTTTGTATAACTTTATAATTTTTTAAATCTTTAAAAATAATTAAAATATGAAAAAAATATTATAATTATCAAAAACTCATTTTTTAAGAATAAAAATATATATAATTTTTAAATAACTAAAAATTTTGGGCTATTTGTTTGAGATTAAAAAATAGAATATGTTTTAACTTGATTCACTATATCTTCTTTTTATTTTTAAAATATATATGAACCTCCCCTTATATAAATAATTATAAAATAAAAATATTTCATTAATTTTTAAAAATTTTATGTTCATTCACTTAACTTATCGTCAAGTCGCATTATATTAAATCAAAATATTATTTTTTAAATATAAATATTATTTAAAAAATAATTAAATTATTCAAAAAATTAATGCATATTTTTTACTTTTTTATATTTTAAAATTTTTTGTTATGTTGATGTATTTATTTAGTAATTTTTTAAAAATTAAATATATAAATTGATTAAAATAATAATTAAACATGCGATTTAAAAATTTATGAAATAAAAATTTAATGTAATCAATTACCTAATATAATTTATTTTTATTTTTAAAATTTCATTAATTTTAAAACAAATTTTTAAAAATATTTATTTAAATATTGCAATACCAATGTTTAATTACTCATTCCGTTCAAAAATATAGGGTATTTTTAATCAAATCTTACCCCCTCATATTTAATTACTTATTTTTAAACTAACACTATCTTTTTATATTTATTTCTATTAAATACTTTATAATAAATATAATATTATTAATAGGGGTACTTTTTAAAAAAATATAATAGTTACACTTCAAAAGACTAAAAATGTCCTATATTTTTTAACACTTAGCTCCTTAAAAAATGCCTTATATTTTTTAACAAAAGGAGTATTTAAATTTTTTCTAAAATTGGGGGAGAAATGGCAAATTACTGATTTTAAAATTTGTAAAAAAATTACAAATAAAAAATAAAAGATATGTTAAAGATTAGAATGTTGATTTTGAAAATTTAAGAATGATTTCTGTAATTTTAGCAAAAGAGAAGATAGGTTACTGTATTTTATTTAAAAAAATAAGTAACTTCTAAATAGTTTTTATATTTATTTTGTAGAAATTTATTTTCTAAATATATTATAAGAAGTAGACATTATTTTATATTTGGCATTTAGTTACAATAATAAAAAATTAATAATTAATGAATCACTTTTAACTTTTATAATATCTTCATTGATTTCTATTTTATAAAAATTATTTATTATTTAATTATTTTATAATTTTGTGATATCTTTATGGATAACTACATTTTTATAATATTCTCTTTCATCTATTATATTAAATTATTTTTATAAATTACATAAATAGCTCCTTTAAATAATAAAAATATGATTTTCATATTTCTATTACTTTCGAAAGTTGAAACAAGTATTATAACAACTCATAAAATATATTTTTATAAAAGAAATAATTTTTTATTAAATAATTGAAACAAAAAGGACCTTAAAAAACTACTTTAAATAGTTTTTAAAAATAAGTTATAAAAAAATTTTAAAATAATTCAATAATGAAGAATTTTTATTGCCTAAATCTCTAAAAGTAACTAAATAATAATAATTATTTTTATTGTTAAAATCAAATAAAAAATAATATCTGTTTTTTATAAAATCACAAATTTATGTAAAAATTACTTATTTTTAATTTTAAAAATGGATTATTAGTTTGATTCATTTTTTATAAACAATTATTTTTATTCAAAAAACTTTGAAGAAATTTCAGGATTTCTCAAGTTTTTAAAAAATAATCAGATTTTTTATAAGAAAAAAACAGAGTTTTTGCAACTATTTTTAAAATGATAAGATAGAATGTCGATGCAAAGATTGATGAGATATGATAAAATCTAAAAAAAAATTAGTTTTTATGATTATTATAACATAAAAAAATATTAGTTTATAATCAGATAAAATATTGATGCAAGGATAAACCAAGATATAATAAAATTCATAAATAACTAGATAAATTTTAAATTAAATCAAAACTAACCATATTTTAAATTTAAATTTTAAAACACCCCAAGCCTCTATATAAAGCTCATTCATTACCTTACAGCTTACGGTTCTCATAAGTCGTATCAAACTTTTCAAGGCGCATTCAGGTACATTGCAAGTCTATGTTCACATATTTGTTGTGTAGTCAAATTCTTTCTGGCTTGTATTTGAAATTCCTCTTCACTCTCGCACAACATGCATAACAACATATAAACTGCAGATATAGATCTCGTGCCTACTAGAACGTAAGGCCATACATGCATCTTTACTTCTTCACTAATCTCATATCGCCAACAAAAATTTAAATAGTGCTTTTAATATTTTTGTTGATTATTAATATTGCATCCGTAAGACTTATATAAGTAGTTTATGGACCATTTATTTAAGATTAAAAAAAATAATGAATGAGCCTAAATCTAGTGGAAGAAACTATTTTCTCACAACATGATAAACAAAGGTTCAAATTTTCATTAAAAAATATACCCACATTTAATGTACAGCCTTATTTTGAGTAGGATTGCCTTCAATAAAAGGTTATATGTGAGCAATAAAAAAAATTAAAAAATAAGTTTTTTATGGTTTAAAGATTTTATAAAAGAAATTTATTTTATAGAGACTTTATAAATAGATAGATATTATTTTATATTTTGTTACAATAATAAAAATGACTATTAAATTTTTAGATTTTATGATATCTTCATAGATATCTGTTTATAAAAAATAATTTATTAGATATTATTTTATATTTTTTATAATAATAAAAATGAATATTATTTAAATTTTTAGATTTTATAATATTTTCATAGATCTCTATTTATAAAAAACAATTTATTATTTATTTATTTTACAATTTTATAATGTCTTAAAATATTTCTGTATTTTCATGACATTTTCTTTCATTTATCACATCAGATTATTTTTACATTTTTTTAAAATAATTAAAAATATATATTTTTAAGATTTTACTTATTTTTAAAAGTTAAGGTTGTGTTTGGTGGGAAGGAAGTAAAGGGAGAGGAGGAAAAAGAGTTTCATGTTTGGTAGTATTGAATTGGCAAGGTAAAAATGAAATCAAAGATGAAATTTTAATTTAAGCATGATTAGTATGTAAGAGTTGCAATTGCTAAGAATCCTAATTCCACCAAAAATGTTAGAATTCAATTCCATCATATTGACTATGGAATTGCTTCAATTCCCTTGAATTTAATTTATAGACCCCATTATCCTCATCTTTTTTGTTCATTTATAACAAGGTAGGTCTTTTTTTATTTTGAGAAAAAAGGGCAATTTGGTCTTTTCATATTTTAAGTACATATACAAATTAATATTATATCAGAATTCCATCTTCATACCAAACACACTTTTAAAACTTAATTCTATTTTGATTTTGATTTCAATTTCGATTCTGATTCTGATTTCATTAAAAACTCTTTTATCATATCAAACGAGGCCTTAACACATGATTCTCTATTTTATTTGATTTGAGAAGAGACGAGAAGAGGGGGATGGAGGACAGAGAATGATTCCTCCCATTTTTTAAACCAAATAAAAAGACCCTTCTCTCTCCGTTTTTTTAATCAACCAAACAAGGCGTGGGAACTTTTCAAAAAAAGAAAAAAGAAAAACCCTCAAAACCAAACATGCCTTAAAACCAACATAATAAAATTTTACAAAATGGGGTTTTTAAAAAAAATAAATTATTTTTTCATTAAAAAAACCTCAACAAAGGGGCCTAAATTCCTTGATTAATGACTCACATCCACATCTCATTGACTAATTATTATACTACTCTATCTAATCCTATTTATAAAATATAAGGAATTTTTTTTAGTTCTATTTATAATGATATCATTAAATTTTTATTATAAGTTTTTCCTTTATCTCCATTAAATGTATACAAAAGAAAATAATTTTTAAAATTGTATTAAATTTTTATCATAAAATTTGCCTTCTATCCCATTAAATATATACAAGAGGTAATATATTTTTAAATTATATTATTTAATAGAGATAAAATTAAAAATTTATTAAATTATTAGATAGGCTTATTAATTTTAAAATTTTTTTATGGTTAGTGATTTGTAAATAAAATCGGAAAGACATATGCTCACATTGATCATACTTACTATTCCCTCCGTTTAAAGATATAAGACATTTTTTAATGAATAAGATATTAAAAAATGTAAGGTATTTTAGTCTTTCAATACATAATCATTGCTTTTTTTAAAAAAATGCCTCTATTGATAATAATTTTATATTTATTATAGGGTGTTTAGTAAGAATAAATATAAAAAAAATAGAATTAGTTTAAAACTAAATAACTATTTTATTAAAAAATAAGATTTAATTAAAAATATTTTATATTTTTAGATAAAAAGAGTACACTTTTTGAACGAATTACTTACAGGTAACCCTGGAGAGACAAACATATTCCCGAACTCTTATCTCTCGTACATAGCCTTGAGACTTCACAGTTTCCGAAATGGCGGCTTTGTGTGAAAGCTTTAGCAGCGGCTATCATGCCTCATACTCATGTTCTGATGATGTTAACAGGTAATTTAATCTGGTTCATCAATTTTTTTTAATCGTGCTTTGCTATTGTGTTTTTCTATGATTTTTTTTTCATTTGGTCTTTCTTTTTTTAAATATGCTTTGAAGGATGATGATTTAACACTAATAATAGTAAATTATTTGATGGATAATTAACAAGGTTAAATTGAACATTAAAATAAAAAAGAAAAAGTCAGAGCAATGCATTTAGAAGAAACTTACGATTGCACCCAACAAGAAGAAGAAAAAAATGAATTCAAACATCAATGTTAACTAAAAAAATAACAATCAATGACTTCCAAATTAAAAAAATAAAACAAAATATTTTAGTGTAGCGAAAAAAAAAAGAAATAAAATTTAAACTTTATTTGACTTGCAGTGAAATAATGTTTGTTATTTGGCCCCAAAAAAATGATGTTTGTTGCATGTCAAATAATTTAACATTATTAATGTCACATTATCATCCCTTTAAGTATATTTAAAAATAAAGAAATAGAAATTTAAGTTCTTGTACTTTATTCGCATTTTACTATTTAATTTTTGTACTTTTTTCAGTGTTTTAGATCTTTATACTTTTATTTTTAGGTGTTCGAAGGACCTAAAATACTAAAAAATAAAAGTATAAAGATTTAAAATATAAAAAAAATATAGGGATCAATAACAGAAGTCAAGCAAAGTATAGAAATTTAAAATTATGTTTTTCTCTTAAAAATAAAAAGATTAATATTATATACCAAAAAAACCATAGGTACATGGAGAAACATAAAAAAAAAATACAATTACGAATAACAAAATATGATAAAGCAACATAATTATAGGGATTAATAATTTTGTTTTCTTTTTTTAACCCTGATAAGTAGCCTTTTTTTACCTTTTTCCCCCTTAAATTCTTGACTATAGTTTTCTTTTCTTTTTCTTATTCTCCTTATAGTTCTTCAACTATGACTTGTGAAGCAAGTGAAGAACAAGAACAAGCTACAAGGACTGAATTGAAAGGGAAGAGTGATATTGAAAGTCTTGAGTTGCCTGATTTCTATGCTCTGAGAAATGTGTCTTCAACAATGATATTTAGTAGCTCCATTTCTAGCACCACCACCTCTTCTGATTCCTCATCCTGTGATAATAATGAAATATCTGATCAACCCAATGGTAACAGGTTGGTTATTATTCAATATTCCAATTCTTTGTATTTTCATTGTTCTTTTGAATTTGATATAATACCATTTTGGGAAATACTACAATCAAGCAATCAACTCAAGTAAAAGAATACATATTGCCAGAAACCAGCAGGCCAAGTGGAAGAGAGGAAAACTTCTAGGACATGGAGGATTTGGCCGTGTCTACAAGGGATTTAATAGGTAATATAATCTTGTTTAAAATACTTCTTCTAACAAAACAAATTATATGGCGTTGTGTTGCTTTGAATCCTCCATAAAATTTTTTATATCTGGAATTAGTTAGTTAATAATGCGCATGGTATTTTGTTTATACATGATTTAGGTATTGTAATTCAATATCTCTTACTTAGTCAATACATCAAAATATTGATATCAACTTGTCTATTTGATGTCTTGAATCGTTTAGTGTTTTGCTCATTTTATTTGCTTTACGTACTTACTTTAAATTATATTATTTTGTATTTTTATTTTATATAGTGAAACCGGACAAATATGCGCAACAAAACGAGTTCTCTTTGATCTTGATGATGAGCGATCAGAAAGGTGCCTTCAACAACTTTGCAAGGTATTTCTATCACCGTGCTATATGTAGTTTGGTAGTTACTTGCTCCAATTTTATAGATTAGTCATTTTCTAAATATTTTTCTTGATCTTTTATATAAGTTACTTTCTCTTATATTTTTTAAAACTTTTGATGCATAATTTCAAAAATGCCCTCCAATAAATTCTTGAAAAGAGTGTAATGTTTCAATTTTCAAAAAAAAAAAATAACTCTTCTCACATATCAAATACTCTTTTTTAAATTTAAGAGAGTAGTTGTAGAATTTGGAATTATGTGGAGTCAGCATAATGCATCTAAATCATTAATTTAATAATTCATAATTACTTTACCATTTTTTGCAGGAGAGAGCTATACTTTCTCAACGATCACATCCCAATGTCCTTGAATACTATGGAAGCCAAATGGTAAGTCAAATATTTATAATAAAATTAAGATAAAATTAACTATTTAATCCTTATAGTATTAACGCAATTGTAATTCAATTCCCTAACTTTAACTCGTTATAACTTAATCGCTGAGGTTTTAATTCAGTTGTAAATCAATCCCTGAACTTTGTCTCTTGTAATTTAATCCCTGAAGTTTTAACCTCTTAAATATTGGCCCCAATGTTTTAAAAAATAAAATTATAAAGATTAAAAATATTGTAAACTTTAATATTTATAAAGATTAAAAGAGTTTAATAATTTAAAATATTAGTAATAAATTTTAAAATATTTTAAATTTTTATAATTTTATTTTTTAAAATATAGGGACCAATATTTAAGAGGTTGAAACTTCAAGAACTAAATTGCAAGAGACAAAGTTTAGGGACTGATTTACAACCGAATCAAAACTTTAGAAATTGAGTTATAACAAGTTAAAATTTAGGGACTGAGTTACTACTAAGTTAAAACTACAAGGATTAAATAATTAATTTTCTCTAAAATTAATTATATCCTTTGTGTGTGTGAGAGAAAAGAATTTATGAATTAATTAATTAATTAATATGTGTATCGAAGGTTGCATACATATTTTATGAAAATAATTTAATTAATAAGATCATTTGTTGATTTATGTGATGTATATGTAGGGAAAAGAAGGGTTTTCAATTTTTATGGAGTATGTATCTTATGGTTCAATTTCCAGCATACTTCAAAAATATGGTTCGCTTGAAGAACATCATATTCGACATTTTACCAAGCAAATAGTCAATGGACTTGCCTATTTGCACGATCAAAATATAGTACACAGGTAAGTCATTTAATCTTAACTTAATATGGATAATCATAAACTATAGAACTTTTTTGTTTTGTTTTGTTAATTTTCTTTGTGTTTTCCGTTGCCAGAGATATCAAAGGAGCCAACAAACTAGTTAGTCCTAATCGTGAGATTAAATTGGCTGATTTTGGAATGGCAAGACATGTAAATGCATGGTCCTATATCTCACTTACTTTATAAGTATATATCTCATTTACGTTATAAGTATATAACATTTATTGTTTATCATATGATCGATATAATTAGATTAATTAGACCCTAGCTATATATATTTGTGCCCTCCACAACTTGTGAATTATAGTGTGACTTCATACAATTAAATTTTATAGGTATTTTGATTGAACAATACATTACTAATATATCACGTCTTCGATAATCCTCAAGCACTCAACTTTTGCACTTTTTCTACCCACTCTTCTTTTGGTTTTTTTTTTAATACTCCCTTGAATCTAAATTATAAGTAATTTTTAATTATAATTTGTATATCAATAAAATTTGGTTATATCCATAAATTTTCTCCTTTTACCCTTAATCCCAACTGACAATGATGAATTAAATTAGAAAAAGAGTATTTATATCAACAATTTTTTAATGAGGGATGTCGTGTGGGAGAATCAAAATAATATAAAGTTGACAATATAAGAAGGTGATAAGTTCCTATGCTCCACAAAAAACGAGATTAATAAATATAAGAGTAAAATGAGAAAAAATTATTTCTAAAAAATCCTAAATATCATATATTTTGGACTAAAGTTAGTTGAAAGAAAACATCATACATTTTAAAGTAAAAAGAGTTTCTTTTTTTATTTTTAAGCATTGTTGTATCCTCATACTCATAATAGAGGTCACGTCTCTAACTTATTACTTTGAACCCCCAGGTAGAATCTTCTTCCTTGATGTATTCTATGAAGGGAAGCTTATATTGGATGGCACCTGAGGTAAAAATATATATATATATATATATAGACTTTTTAGTTATAATTAAGTTCTCTCTTTCAAAATAACAAGAAAGCCCTTTATTATCTTTTTTTTTCCTTCTTAATTAATCTTCTCTTACTAAATTATGATATTTGCTCTTTTAGATGGTAAACAATAAAATTGGATGTACTATGGCTGTGGATATATGGAGCTTGGGATGTACAATTCTAGAAATGGCAACCGGAAGGCCCCCATGGAGTCAATATAAAAAAAGGGTATGTGTATTCATTGATTTTTTTTTTAATGATGATCTTCTAAATTTTCATATTTTATTCTATATGAAAGATTAACTAATATTAATTTTAAAAATTAATGTTGGACAGAAAATTGTAGTGGCAAAAATTGATAATAGTAAAGATCTACCTGCGATTCCAAGTCATCTTTCAGGTGAAGCAAAGGCTTTAATAAGATGTTGCTTACAAAGAGATCCAATGGTTCGTCCAACGGCTCGTCGTTTACTTGATCATCCATTTATTAGAGGATACTAGTTACTCACATAAGCTCACATTTTTGAACATATAAGGATGTTTGTAATTATTTTTCTCTCGTGACTACTATCAATAAATATATACAAGCATAATTTAGGAGGTGTGATATAATACAATATTTTACGATTTCATTATTATTGTAAATGGATTGTGTTTATCATATTAATGTATTTATAAAGGTAGTATATATTACATTCATTACAAGTTATAAATTAATGTTAATGGAAGAGACAAAAGAACAGATTAACTATAAATTTGAATTATGCAGGAAGACCTTAGAGTTAAAGGGTTTTTACTTGAATAGAAATAAAACGAAATATTTGCATCATAATTTTGATATGAAAAATAGTCAACAGAAAATTGGAAATAAGATTAGGAGATTAACTTATACTTCAAATGAAAAGGTTTAGATATTTGAAAGTTATTGTTCAACATGATAGAGAAATTGATGGGAAATATTGCACATAAGAAACAGGCTATATGGTTTAATTGAAAAAATGTTACATGAATCACTTGTGATCAAAATATATTTAATAAACTTAAAGAGAAATTTTATCAAATTGCTATAAAATCACCTATATTATATGATAGTGAATATTAAGTTTTAAAAAGACAATACGAGCATAAAGTTATAGTGATAAATATAAAAATATTGAGATGGATGTATAAGTATATATGATAAAAAGTAATTGATAAGATAGCAAAATTTTATAGGTAAATTAATTTGGTATGTTTCTTTGTGTTGAAGTGAATTGTATTATTTATGGTTTTTGATGAGTGTAGCTTTTTTTGACATGTGGTGCGTTTGGAATCATGCTTGGAAAAATTGGTTAAGAAGACTTTATTAAATTGGTCTCAAGGACCAAAAGTAATTGAAGAATTAAGGTTAATATTTTATTATTTAAATAATATAAACAAATAACCAAAATATTCTTATATTTAAACTAATGAAATTGAAAACAAAAAAACAAAAATTGCCTATTCAATACATGCCTTCTAAGTTAGAAGTTTTACACTCCAAGCTAAAAGCCTTAAGTGCCATGCTTCTAGCTCGAGTGCAATGCTTCTGTTTTAGGGTGTATATATTAAATAGGCAGTCTTTGTATTTTTTTAATTTCATTAGTTTAAATAGAAGGATGTTTTGATCATTTGTTTATATTATTTAGTAAATAAAATATTAACTTTGATCCTTAAAATTAATTTTCTTTTAACGAGGTCGTTTTCACTAATTTTCCCATCATACTTCGTATTTTTTTTTTTGAAAGACAAATATATCGTGCTTTGTATTGAAGTGGAGGCAAGCCACGCTACTCGCAATTTTTAAATAAAACAATTTTGAATTTCCTATATACTCTTGAATTTTTTTATTTAATTTAATAGAGGTGTGTGGTTATTTGAAAAGTTTAAAATTTCACAATTTTAATTTTCTTTATTTTAGAAACATTTACACTCCGTCTAACGTGACCAAGAGTTATATATTTAAAAATATTATTTTTTCTTATATTTTATTTTTAATTATATTTGATTTTTTCACCAATAAACTTATCTCTTATGCCAAAGCTAAGCCATTTTCTTTCGGAATAATTAGGGATAAAATATCTGTAACATCTTTAAAAAAATTTTGGGGTGACAAATAAATCCCGTTTTAAAAAATAAAATAAAATATCATTTATCTCAAAGTAATTATCTCATTTCATAATACTTTTTTTTTGTTTACAACAAAACTTTGCTATGTTTTTTTAAAAATAAAAAAAATTATAAATAAATTTCATTGAAATATGTAAATGATAAAATAGTATGGATGAAGATATTTTTCCTTAAAGTTTATCTTCCAAACTAAAGGCCTTTGTTTGTTGTTGTTGTTGTTGTTGTTGTTGTTGTTGTTGTTGTTGTTGTTGTTGTTTGTTGTTGTTGTTGTTGTTGTTGTTGTTGTAAAAATTGGTTTGCAATACCAATAAATATGTAGCTAAACTGATGAGATGTTATGTTAGTTTAACCAGTGGAAGAACTTTACCACCAATATTATTTTACCAGACTCAATTAATTCCAAAATGTGTGTTTAAATGAGTTTTTTAAATTTTTTTTGAAAAATAAAAGATAATTTTTAAAAACAGAAACCAAAACTAATAATAACAATTTTGTTAATCCAAGTTTCTCTCAGCTTTAATCATATAATTCGATTTGAAATATGTGTGCGGCGGGCACGGGGCATCCATGTTTTCTTTAGAAATGTATATTGAATGAGGATAGCTCTCTTGATTAGATTTTTTTCTTAATAGATTGATGAGATCTTTTATTTATTAGATTTAAATTAGTAATTTTATTTAAAATATATTTAATTCTAAGCAACTCGACTACTTTTAAATAGAGCCAATAAATTTGGGTCAAATATAAATAAATATTAAAAAAATTTAGAATTGGGCTTAACAGAATATTATTTTCTTATATTCATGTCTATTCGCATTTGGGATATGCCAGAATACCCAAACGTATGAATTTACTTTTTCTTAAAAAAAATATAAAATATATTAATTTTAAATAATCCTTCCAGTTTTAGTTAATTTTATATTGAGATACATACATATATTTATTAAATTATTATAGATATTTTTTAAAAGAAATTACAATTTTTTCCATTGTTATGTTTTTATTAATTTTAATTTATAAAATATCTTAAAATAATATTCAAAACTTATTTTAATCTTAATTTTAAAAATTTAAGACCCGCACTTTTTTGAGTTCTTTAAATTTTTTAAATATCTTGAAAAGTATATTTTATATTTTTTGATTAAATATAAATAATTAGTTTCAAAGAAAAAATTGAAATTTGTTTTAAAAATGAAAAAAATTTTAAAAATTTAATAATTCAAACATTTGAACTGACTTGAATAGATACGAAACTAGAAGATGTTTGGTTAGTCTTGACTATTTGGATATTTTATAAGTTTGAACTTATTCAGGTCAATTAATTTGAATTATCAACTCAATTTTCAAAGGAAGGAAAATTATTTTAAAGTCACGCAACTCATTTAAATATCACAAAATTTATGCTAATAAAGAAAAATAACAACTGAAATACTATCTTTTTTTTTTTGTTAAATTGTCAATCTCCTTCTGTCCTTTTAAAGTATTGCTTTTTTTTTAAAAAAAAGAATCAATATAGTAATCCAAAATTTTTTTTGCTACAACTTTAGTGGAAGTAATCAAGAAGTATGATCTTTTTGTTTTAAATTGTATTTCCTCCATTAAAAAATAAAAAATATTTTCAATCAAATTATATTTTTCAATAAATTATTTAATTATCTTTAAACTTTAATTATACAATAAAAATTAAAAATATTTTATATTTTTGAACAATTATACTTAGAAAAAATGTCTTATATTTTTAAAGAAGGGAGTGGTTATTTTTTTTTTACTCTTCACCAATAAACTTATTTTCAGGCAAAAAAGTATAAAAAATTTATTTAAAAATTATTTATTTTTAATACATAAAATGGTCTTATAGTGAGCTAGTAACCAGTAATAATTTTTTTTGGGCCAAAAGTAACTAGTAATAATTAAAAAACCATATTTTCCATCCAAATATCTTGCCAAGTTCATGATAAACTCCTGGAAACGCGAGAATCATGAGGTGGGACATACTTGGCATCGAGTGGTTGCTTCACACAATAATACTGACCCTTTCCTCTCCTCGTCGTGGGAATTTGAAAATATTTGGTAAATGATAAATATAAAATTCATTTATAATTAATATTTATTTCAGCCTTAAAAAAATAATGATCTTAATTATTATCCTTACTCTGTGCTTCGAATTTTTATTCGTTAGTATTATTTTTATCAATCTCTGTCAGAGGCTTATGCTATTCAAGTTGCTCACTATCTATCATTGCCCCTATCATATGCGTCACCTTCGCTCAAGGAGAATCGCTGCGACCACCGTGAGTTTCAGAAAACAGCGAAGCACGAAGATAAGTTTGTATCATCGAAGCAAAGGTAAGATTTTTCCTCTTTACATTCTTCGTTTGGTTGCAGAGTATGTGTCAACGTGGGATTCTTGTGTCTTCTGACAATTTCCCTTTCTTCGTATGATTTTTCTTTTTCTTTTTTCTATTGCGGGAGCCAAATCGATCGATATTCGACAATTATTATTAATATTGGTCTGTGAATTACCTAGAATTCAGAATCCAATCGCAGGCGAAGTTGCAACTTATAATCCTTTTTTTGGGGGGGGGTCATAAATGACTGAATTTTGTATCTGGAATTAATGAATTAATCCAATGCTTATCCGACGTGTTTCTTATTTGAAGTTGGATGTGGGATCATGGACCTATTTCTAACATTTTCCAGTTGAACTCATGGATCAGGGGCTTGATATTTTCACATTTAAGGGTGTTGGTGGTACTTTTTTGTTGTTGTTGTTGTTGGAATTCACTTGATGAGGTGCTCCTTGTATAGAATCTATAAACTTGGAAATTCCAGTGGTTTTATGTGTTGAGAACAAATGTATTTATCAAGACATAAGGTGTTAGAATGTTGTATCCTGTCTCTATTATGATATTAATTGCATTTGAGAGCACGAAGCAAGTTAAAAAGTTTAAGATTCTGGCAGTAGAAAGGTTGGGTCTGAAGGGATTATAGGTTTGAAAATGATTTATTTCTTTTGACTTCCGTCAGTGCTAATTAGAATGGTTGCGAATGTGTTATAGTCGATTCATTCATGGAGTTCCAGATGGACTTTAGTCACAATAATCTGTGCTGAATGGTTTTTCAATTTGAGGTTTGAAGATTGTTCTTTTATAGTTTCCCAGTCTTTATCTTATCCCATTTACCCTGTCTAACTAGTTTTAGTCAGTTATCCTACGTGCCGTCTTTTTTTTTTTTTTGGGTTACATCCTATATTTTGTCTTTAATTCAAACGTTTTGTGCGTATAATACACATAAGAGAAAAATTTTGTTTTTTTTTTAAAAGGTGCATATGCCTTCTTATGCTTCAGAGAACAAGAAAGAAATCAATACAATACATAAGTAACAGCTATTGAGTTCAAGTGTTTTCTTCTGCTCCTGGTTAAAGCATGGAACTTTTATTCTATAACTTCTTTTGAGTATTTTTTTTTTTCCTTTTAATATTTGGATGTGATTGGTTTTCTATCTTGATTCACAAACCTGATATTGTTCCTGTGCAGCTTGGAAGAGTTTACAAATCTCAACCATTTGGATTGATCAGCTGATATTGGAAATGGTTAAAAGGTTTGCTTGCCCTCACTTATGACAGCTTTATGAAAAATGAACTGAATGGAATATCTAACTTAATTCATTTTGAAACAGTTATGGAGTGTTTTGATTTGCTAGAGATACCATGTTGTACTGCATAGAGGGAGTTAAGCGTCTAATTGCTTCTGCATTGCGTTGTTGTGACCTTGATTTATATAAGCAGCCGAAAGGCCTTGAAGATCCTGAACAACTTGCAAGGGAGACTGTGTGTATGTGATCAGCTTAATTTTATGCTTGTGATATCTTAATCTGAACAACTGTTCTAATGAATTGAAGTATTAATTTATTTGCAATTACTCAATGTTTCATGATGAAGAATACAAAGGAACATATAGTATGCTTTTATTAAGTTATTGAACATATAGTCTTGAGTCATGTAAAGAAGGGCAGAGGAAGACAAAAAAAAAAAAAATACTCTTTGAAATTTTTGAACGTGACATTGGTTAACAATATTTCCATAGATTTTGTAGTTGATAGAGTGCAACAATCTCGTGCAATTCATGCAGTTAATGGCACCTAGTGGGATAAAACTTCTTGTTGTTGATGGTGACGATGAGTATGAAGAATAAGGATTTATGATTTTTGCATTCTATTGGCTTTTCAGAGCATGTAATTAGTGATGCATGTATGAAAACAGGAAAAAGAGAAGAAGAACTATATGGAAGGCAAATTATCTTGTTTATGTTAACTTTATGCTATGCTATCCTTTTTTTTTTTTTTTAACTGGAGAAGACAAATAACATTTAAACAAAAGAGGACAAAGCAACAAAGCTAAATAAAACCCTTGATTGTCCGAGATGATGCCCAAGTCCCACTGCCCAGAGAGAATACTCGAGAGGGAGACACTTAAAAATCTAATATGCTATGCTACTCTTTGGAAGTAGTTACCTAGTGTTTATGCTGAATATAATTATTTGTTTTTACTTGTTTCAGTTAGCGTAAGTGAAATAGAAGCACTTTATGAGCTTTTTAAAAAGATTAGCAGTGCCGTGATTGATGATGGGCTGATTAACAAGGTTGGTTTGTTTTTGAACATTTGATAATTAATGTAATTTTTATTTTCTCCCTTCAACTAAAGAACTCATATATGGAGTTTGTATTCATTTGTCATTCTGTATTATAAATTCCATCATTCTCCTATTTGATGGCTTTCTTTCCAAAAAAAGAAGAGGTTCTAGCTTTAAAAGTTTTATTAGAAGTCCTTTTCATCTTGTTTTCAAAATATTGACTTGTTGTATATACCAATTGCAGGACGAGTTTCAATTAGCATTATTCAAGACAAACAAAAAAGAGAGTTTGTTTGCTGATCGGGTACCTTTTTCACTCAAATATGCAAATGCCCGTACATAGATCCATGAAACCCATAATCCCTTGATCATTTCATTTAATCATGTCAGTACAGTATGCAAGGAACATCTTTTGGATCTGTTGGCAAAATAAATGAAGTTTTGGGTTGTCTCCTCTTCTTCATTGCTCCTTGGTTCCAACTGTTGGCTATTGTTAATTCTCATCTTTGTCAATCACCAATTATGTAATCTATTTTTCATCTATGACCTAATTTTTATTTAGATTATATATCAAAATTGTTGTCACAAGCATAGTCAGACCTAATCTTATTGTCCATATGTGGTTTGTTTGATTAAAAATGCTGAAGAATGTCATGCTATCATACTTGAGTTTGGATGTTCAAACCTCTTTCGATTTTGGTTTTGGGCTGATATGGGTGTAGTTTGTTATTTCATGGCCATTCTAAAAGGGGTTAAATTCTTAACCGGTATGAGCATTGCTTATATGTACAAGGCAACTAATTTGGTGGAGTATATTGTAGTTTAAAGTTATTCATTTACCTACTAAGCTGATAAAGGCACACGGCATATCATATGGCTGCTTTGTCATCCCATGCTTGCATAATAAAGAATTAAAGTGAAAAAAAAATACTATGTTTCTGTTTATGCTGTTGTTAATTTTCAATCTTGATTATATGAGATGTAACTATGTTGTTTGTTGGAGCTAGTTTCATTTACTTGTAACCAAGTTGTGACAAGCCCTTGTTTCAATGTTGTCTTACCTGCTCCTGGAAGATTTCAATTGTTTTTGAAAAAAATTACCATTACCTTGATGTTTCTGAAGCATACTTTCTATGCTAGTTTATACTACCTGAGAATGATGTTTGTTCCTTGTACATATGTATGTCAGTGTTCATGTAGTTAGCATCTCATATATGCTTCTTGTGATGTATTACTATTAGGTATTTGATTTGTTTGACACAAAGCACAACGGGATACTGGGTTTTGAAGAATTTGCTCGTGCTCTCTCCGTTTTCCATCCAAATGCTCCTATTGATGATAAGATTGAATGTATGTTATCAAAAACCATTGTTTCATTTGAGATCCTTTAAAGCTGAAGTTGCTTGCATCAGCTTGGGATGTACAATTTAAATTCGATTCTTATATTTACATAATGGGACCTTGCCCATGGAAAAAAAAAAAAAAACCACTAAACTCACATGATTCATGTTCTAGTTTCCTTCCAACTGTATGATCTCAAGCAGCAGGGGTTTATAGAAAGGCAAGAGGTAAAATATTTTCTTTGATGTGTTTTTCAAGATCCTTTCTCTTCATCTGGGTTAAGGCTGAATGTTATTTAGCTTATTTTGTGAAGGTGAAGCAAATGGTAGTGGCTACACTTGCTGAATCTGGTATGAATCTATCAGATGATGTTATAGAAAGCATAATTGATAAGGTGCTTCCCCATTATCTTATTTCGAGCTTCCTTCTTTTATCTTATTTGCATAAAACTCTTGAGAAAGTCTTATTCCTTTTTTTTAGTAGTGAAAAAAGTACTTATTTGTTTCTTTCTTCTCCTGGATTTCATCAGACCTTTGAGGAAGCAGATACAAAGCATGATGGTAAGATTGACAAGGAGGAGTGGAGAAACCTTGTTTTGAGACATCCATCACTCTTAAAGAATATGACCCTTCAATATCTCAAGTAATGTCCAACATATAATCTTTATTTTGCATGGATGTTTGAAATCATTTGGTTTTCTATTTAGTCAACTTTCTAAGGATTCTATCTTCTCCAAACCGGAGTGGACTACTAGCCAAACCTCTCACTGATCATTGTTGACGTGAAAGTGTAAGAAATGGGTGTGAGTGAGATCCAATAAGGCCTCTGCTTTGGTGGAAAATTTAAAATTTAAAAAGTAGTTCAGCATTTTTAGGCCTTTTCGAACTTGATTAGGGTAGATTTTGTTATAACTATGAAATAATCTACAGCCCCGGAAAAGGGTAGGTATGAGCAAGGTACTTTATATTCCTCGAGTTTTCATTGAAGGATAGGTTTGGTCTTTCAGATTACTGAACTTTGAGTGTTATGAAATGATATGGGCATCACCTTGAACAGTCTTTGCATATGAATTTGATGTGAGGTTGGTCTCGTGCCAGAGTTAGATTATTATTAAACAATAAGGCAATGTTTGGTGCATGAAAAGGTGTTTTCTAGAAGAGAAATGAGAAATGTATCTAGAAAGAAAATGGGATAGGCACATTTCTCATTTCCTTTCAAGAGAGCATCTTTCTACCTACCAAACACTACATAAGTGAATTACTTTTTAGTTTCAGCAGAATGAGGTATAAGTGATCATTGGTATAACTTGCTTTTCCATGCATGATGGTGTAGCGATCCTCCTTCACCGAACTTGTCCATTTATTTATAACGTGCTTTTTCATGTATTTGAGCAGGGATATCACCACAACGTTCCCCAGCTTTGTGTTCCATTCACAAGTGGATGATACATGAATATCCTAGTACATCTTTCATCATTTGCTTGTGTGCTTCAGAGCCACCTATTGTGTAAAAAAAGAACGTAGCAGCGAGCTTTGCTTACTTTTTTCCCTTTTGAGCCGAGAGATTTGCTTACCTTACAGTGGTTATGTATTTCATGATGATAATGAAGATATTTGGTTTGGGGATTCATGTTTAGCGATTAAGGCTATTCACCATATGTTTGATTCGTTGCTTGAAACTTGCAGATAATATTACTGTTTCTTTTCCTTGAACCAGGGATTACAGTGGTTAGAAGGAACCATTAGTTGTTGGAATCCTTGGGTTGAGGTATTTTTCTTGGGCAAGAATCTTTTTTCTTTCGTTTTTTTTTTTAAATTTTGTAAGTAACAAAGGTCTTGAATGAATTTTATTGAATATGAGACGTAATTCAATATTCCAGCACTTCAATTGGATTTTAATTAAAATGTCATTTGTAATGCAACTCTGCATATGTTTTATAGTCGGTCCTAAGTTGGGGTAAAGAAGGAAGGTTATGTTAGGCTTTTACAATTAGAGTCGGGAATAAAGGCCAAGCTTGAAGGATCGCCTGTTTAAGTTCATTTTTATTAGGGTTTGGGCTTAAAAAATGATCTTTTTTTAAGAAAATCAGGCTTTAAAGCCCGAACTTGATAGATTCTAAAAAAATAGGCTCGGGCGGCCCTTTTATGCCTGATTTTGTTTTTTCTTTAAAAAATAAAATATTTTCAATTTTTTAATTGAATTTAAACATTAAAATATAAATTTATGCTTTAAAATTAGAATTTTTATGATTTATTTTTAATTTTTAAACATTATAATTTGCATTTTCTTAAAAATATATGATATATTATAATTAGAAATTTTAATTTTTAAAAATTTTAAAAAATAAAAAAAATAACAAGGGTTTACGGGCTTGGTTCTAAGTCCTTTATATAAGGGCGATGTTTTAAAATATAAGATATTTTAAAGAAATCGGCTTTAAGTCCTTAAAGGTTGAGCCTATATGGGCCAAGTCGGGCTTGCTCGTTTCCTAACTTTACTCACAGTCAACATAAAATTTTGTTAAATCTCACATGGATAGGGATAAAAAGAAACTCTTAATAAAATGGCAAATGATGAAGTCAATGGACCTGATTGTATTTTTATTGAAGTGTAGAAATATTAAGTGAAGAAGGGTGTGGTGGCTAACTAAATTATTTAATGAGATCTTACAATTTAAGAAAATGTCCGACGATTAAAGGAAAAACACCTTAGTTTTTATTTCCAAAAATAAATGGGACATTTAAAATTGGGCTAACTATAAAAGGATTAACTTATAAGTCTTATAATGAATTTATGGGAAAGAGTGATTGGGTATAGGTTGAGATTGGAGATTAGTATTTTTGAGAATCAATTTGATTTTATGTCAGGTAGAGCAATTATAGAAGTGATTTATTTGCTAAGCGGATTAGTGAAAAAATATCAATGTAAAGGTAAAGATAAATATATGATTTTCATTTATTTGAAAAAAGCTTATGATCGTGTATTGAGAGGAGTACTTTGGAAAGCCTTGAAAAAGAAGGGTGTTCGGGTTGCCCATATTAAAGCTATATAAGAAATATATGAGGTGGCAACAAATAATATAAGAACGTTTGGTGGTGAAACAAAGGGCTTTTCTATAACGATTGGATGACATCATAGATCGTTTTTTAGTTTTGATTTGTTTGACCTGATCCTAAATGTTTTAATTAAGCATATTTAAGAGAAAATCCCTAAATGCATATTTTTTACGGATGATATAGTTCTTATTGTAGAGAGGATAAGAGATTAACTAAAAACTTAAGTGAGACAGAATATTTGTATTGTAACTTTGATAAAATGTCAGTCAGTAGTAATTTGAAAGTAAAATTGAGTGATTAAATTATACCTCAAGTTGAAAAGTTTAGATATTTAAGAATTATTATTCAATATGATAGGAAAATTGATGAGAATATTACACAAATGATACAAGTTGGGTGGTTTAATTGGAGAAGGGCTAAAGAAGTTATTTGTGATTGTAAGGTACTCAATAAACTTAAAGAAAAGTTTTATTGAACTGCCATTAGACTAGTAATGTTATATGATAATGAATGTTGGGCTTCAACAGGATAGTAAGAGCATAAAGTTGGAGTGGCAGAGGTGAGAATATTGAGACGGATATGTGAGTATACATGTGAAGATAAAATTTGAAATGAGTACATACAAAAAAAAGTGGACACAGCATCTATTGAAGGAAAAATGGTAAAAAATAATTTGAAATGATCTAAATATATATAAAAAGACTGTGAGAGGCACCTATAAAAGGAGTGGAACACATAATTTTAAGCTCTGTTAAGAATGGTAGATAAAGGTCAAAGAAAGCACTTTTAAAAATTATTGACTGAGACCTCTCAATTAATAGCATTTCTAAAAGTTTGGTAAATAATAAAGTACAATAGCATCGTACAATCTATATAATTGACCCTACCTAATGAGATAATGCTTGTTGTTGTTGTATAATTTGTAATGCAAAACAGATTACATTGAAATAAAATTTTTAAGATTAAATAGTAATAAGTTATATTTTAATGGGAAGCATTATTATGAAGGGGTATATGACTATTTTGATCATTAACTTGAACACACTCTCAATATAAAGAATATTTAGGAAACTTCAATTTAAAATATTATTAACAATTTAAGCAATTTTTGAAAGAGAGAAGAATAATCTAATCTAAAATAGAAAATACAACAATGGCAAGTTCTAAGTTGTCTTTGTGAGTTCCTTGAAAGGATTGCTTGAAATTATTATGCTCTATTTTCAGCCAAACTCTTTGATATACCATTCTTCAAGAAATCTTGATAATTTCCTTGAATGTTATTCTTGTTTTTTTTTTTTTGTCTATGTATGTTTTTAGGACTAAGGACTATATGCTCAATCCTCCTCCTCTATTTGAACTTTTCACTATCTCAAATGATTTGCTATCGTTTTTTCCTCAACAAATGATGTCAACTTTTCCTCATGTACAAACATTTTGAATTTTATCTTTTCTTGCATGATCATTTATCTATCTCAATATTTTTATGCCCAATGATAATATCATTGATCTTTAATAAAACTTTAGTATAAGCTTTACAATAACAAGTAACTCATCATAATACCTTCCTCCATTTTAACTATCCAATTTTTATCCTAGGCATGACATCCCCATCAATTTCACTTTCATTTTGTAATTTTGTAATATCAATCTTAGTTGCTTAAAATTTTTTACTTGTTGCAAGGTTTGAATTCCCACCTTTATCTCCAAATTATTTCTAATTTGTCTTATTAAATTTTTAATGAAGGTATTTCTTGCTGTTATTTGGACAAAAACCTTTTAATTCCAAAGTTCGTGTCCATGATTCAAGTTTAAAGTTAACTTCCTTTCTTAGGTCCTTAACTAGAACTACGTCATAAAGAGCATGCACTGAAGAACTCAAAGATAATTTCTAATATAGACCAATCCCTATAGAGAAGTCATTTGTGTCACTTAAGAACATTCTCACACTAATTGTCTCCCTTCATTATATCCTTTATAATTAACTATGATATTAAGTAACACAAACACCTTCCTTTTCTGGAGTTTATCATAGCATATATTTTTAGCACTTCATCATGGACTTTTTTCTCTATCAATAAAATTATATGCAAGTCTTTTTCTTTAATTGGATACTTCTCCACCAACCCTTTTAGAAGATAGATAGCCTCCCTTATGAATCGCCTTGACGTAAATTCAAATTAGTTCTCTAAAATATTAGTCCCACTTATTAATTTGTGTTTAATCGCTCTTTTATAAGTTTTGTTCTTCAATAATCTGCATTGTTTTGGATATCCCATTTATTCTTGTATATAGGCATCAAATTACTTTACCTCCTTTAGCATTTTCTTTAACCTTGTTACTTTTTTGACTATTAAAAACATACACATACACTAATGTGTCAATGTTTAGTTTGAACCAAGGAACTCTTCTAAGCAAAGAATATGAGACGTCAACTAAAATAACTTGTTGTTGATAAACTCTTAACCTCATTATCTGATTTCAAAGTATAGTGAGCTAAAGAATATCCTTTGTTCCTAAATACTTTCACACCTTATTAGGAATATTGTCAAAATTAGGGACTTTTCTAGTTTCTATTTTCTCAAGAGTTTCTGATTTCCCCAACCCAAATTCTGCAGTAAAAAGCTAAATCCTTTCACCTCTATATTATCAAATCTTCTATATCTCTAGTGATCTTTGATCCATCATCAAAAAGTTTGTAAAAACAGCCCTCTATCTTTAATTTACTTTGTTCACAAACTTCTATATCTTTGGTGATCTTTGATGCCAGGCATTGCTTGACTATTTTGACCCGCGGATGCATGGGTACAATTGATGAAAACAAGGGCCCTTAATTTGAAATTTGAAAGAATGAGAGTACCTGTGCTTTGGAAGAGGAAGAATAATCAAGCATTGGAAGATGAAAGGAGAAAAGTTACTTGGGAGCTCGGAAGATGAAACTAATTCTTACTTAAAATCAATACCATGACAGCTTTATCATATTTTCAAAAACTGACCAACCGAACTTGAAAAAATGAAATAAAATTTTAAAAAATGTACCAACCAACAGGAGGCATTCAAGGGAATTGGGAGAGAGAGGAGAGAAGTGATATTATTTAAATATGATCTTATATGAGAAATGGACAAATTTTCTTATTAATTAAATTCAATTGAAGCTTGGATCAAATTCCGAGTTTCATTGAGGCTAAATCCAACTTTATTCTTTCTCTTTTCTAACTTCTAAAAAAAGAAAAAAGAAGGAGACGAGGGATTAATCACAGATATTTGATTGTATCTCTAATTTTTTTCACCTCTTCTTGTGTCACTAACTACAATGAAAAAAGGAGAATATTAATGCATATGAGAATAAACTATTGATCTCTATCAATAGACATGCTAAAGCACCAAACCATATAGTACTTATCATTGGTGCCATGGAGAGATATGTTTTTAAATCTGGCATTTAAAATCCTTCTCCTTTATTCTTAATTCTTATTCTTTATTAAATAAGAATTACAGTGCTTGTTATAAGAAATGGATTCGGCCTGAGGATGGCGAAGTCAGATAAGATGTTGATGGATCGATTCATAATGGTTTAGGCAAATGTGATGGTGTTAATTATAAGGGATAGCAAAGTTGACTAGATTGTGGGTTTTAATGCATGCGTGGGCATTGTCCCTGTTGCGCTAGCAGAATTAATCAGGATGGGATCATATATGGCCTACATCTTTGCTGGATCAGAGGTTTTCACAGGGTCAAGGTTTTCGCAGACTGCATTGAAGTTATATTAATCTAATTTATCACAGCAATGTGGATCAACACCTTTTTAGAGACATCATCGAGCAAGCTAAAGTTTTTTCACCGAAAGGATGACACGTCACTGTCAACTTTATGTTTCGAGAATTTAATTTTTTTGCTCACTCTTAGCTAGGCATGCTACCCTTAGTTTTGTTAGTTGTTTATCTTTGATCATCCACCCTTTATTGTATTGAGGTGGTGAATAATAAGAGAAATTCGTCTTAAGTATTAGTTAACAACTTGTTTACTTTGTTGTAATCCAAACCAAAAAAAAAAAATGATCTTATATTAAACAAAACTAACCAATCAAAGAAAAGTATTAACTTTAGGCTAAAATATACTAACCAATGAGAGGACATCATTTAATAGCCAATTGATAGGTTAATTAAGTCAAAATTATAAGGATCAAATAATTAATCTTTCTTTTAAAATTTAAATAGAATTTTTTTTGATAAATATACATCAAAACTCATTTATACAATTAAGGCATGTGGATTTAAGAGTTTTTTTTTTTTATGTCATGAGACATTTTGAATTATATTTTTTTAGGACCTCTTAGTTATTCTCTCTTATGACAATCTTATTTAACATGGAAGAGTTTTTTTTTTTTAAAGAATAACATATAAATATCTCTTAAATAGGAAAATAATAATTTAATTTTGTGAAATGTGATAATGAAAATTAGATCTTTTGGGACTTTTTTGAGGTTAAATTTCTACGTGAAATTACTCTAGTACCCATTTGTAATTAAATTTTATATGATTTACAAGCTTGATATAAGTATTTGCAAGTTTGACTTTATTAATGACAAAAACAATTTAAAAAATTATAACTTTTTATTAGTAAAATTTAACTAATTTTATGTCGTCTATAAGTTTGATATAACTATTTGTAAGTTTAGTTCGACTAATAATTAAAAATGATTTAAGAAATTACAACTTTTTAAATCGTAACAGGATATTAAAGTAATTTTATACAAAAAATTTAATCTTAAAAAAGTTTTTAAAAACCTCACTATTATTATCATATTTCATGAGATTAAATTATAATTTTTTTATTTCAGAGAAATTTATTTATCCTTTTTTGGGTCCAAAATATTGATGTTCTTTTTTTTATGGGTAAACTTATATTCTTATGATACTTATTTTTAATTAAATTAAAATATATGAATATTTTATAAATTTTTTATTTTATATAATTTTTTTATATTAATTTAATTAACATATTAATATTTATTTATCATGATTTAATTAGATATAAATTTATTAAATATATAAACTCAAGTATGGAAGTCTCACCTTTCTTTTTTTAATTTTGTTACTTGAGTAATTAATTTTCGACCTATGCCGAATTTTTCCAAAAATTAATTATAACCCCGACAAAACACAATCTCGTGAGTTGCTGGTCCATTTCTCCTCGTCGACAAAGAAGCATTCCACACTCCGTCGAACGCCGTCCCCCGTTATCAGCTCTGCGTAGTTGTTCCCTATCAAGCAGTGGAGAAGGTTCCAACCCTAGGGCTTTTTCAACTCCCAAAATCCGATGAGATTGATTTGTTCAATATGGCTTTCAATCTAGATTTGAATTTGTTTCCCGCGTTCTGTTCTCTGCGTGGTTGTTCTTTCTTTGTTTTAAATTTTTTCATTTTAACTTGGCTTTGATTCTGATCATGTAATCGTTTGAATATTGACGCTTTTGGATTTGGGAGTATTTACAGATTGAGTTTAATGTTTTTTGGTACTAGTTTTTGCTTGAATGGTGTGTAATTGGTTATTATACTGCTTCCCTTTTAATTTTAATTACTACCGACCTGTATGATTTGGATTGTGTTATTTTGAAATGTTGCATTTGTTGTTTATTGGCATTCTCTTTATTTATCTTTTTATATTATTATCAATTTATAAAATTCTCAAGGTATTTGTGATGTATGATCTTGTAAATGACTTTGTTCGAGTTGTGTCAAAGCATATGGAACAAAAATTAAAAAGGCATTATATCAACTATGCATATTTCACAGATTTCAGTGGGGCAACACTCAGTGAAATATAGGTCCGCCTGTGCTTATGGCCTTCCTTTACTTGGTTTGATTTCAATCTGCAATTTTCCTGTAGTGTCTACAATTCAATTTGACCAAAAACAAATGCTCGACATGCATATTTTACTGTTGACAGATCGAATCTTTACTAGTGGGCATTGCTGTCTGACCTAAATTAGTTTTGTGATTATTGAGAAGCTTATCAGTTATCAATCATTCAAGGAGAATTCTATAAATTCTTACTAAGAGTTCAATGATTGAGAGTTTACTATTATCTATGAGTCTTGTGGTTATTATCTCTTATCTATATTTTGAGGAATCTTCATATTCAGATTCATTCGGCTCTTTATATATTTAAGAGTTGAGCAGGTGCTATAGGTATGCCTTTAGTTTGAGTGTTTGTATATTTATAAACCACAAGCAGGCAAGTTTTTCCAGATTCAAAGAAATAACTTTCAGAATTTCAAATGTTTTATCATTAAAAAATAAGAAGTCAAATTAACTGATTGCTTTCAGTTTGTTGTGCATCCCACAATGCTTCTATCCAATAAATCTTTTGCCAGGCCAGCACTAACTCCTCCACTCACATTTTTCTTTACAGGGGTGGCGGCATTTTATCATGTCTAGAGAAACCAACTTTTTATTAAGTGTAACATTGCGACTTTGAGGCTTTCTGCTAACAATTTTGTGGTCCTTGACTAACATGTGTTTGGTAAATTTGAATATTTGGTAGTATCACTATTGTTAAAATTAGAACTGTAGCATAGGTAGGTGAATAGGAAAGCTTCCTTGCTTGTACGCACACACATGCTCATGTGCGTGCACACTCAACTCTAGGCATATTGGTAGCATCACCCTATACTCAAATATGCTGGCCCAAATGAACCTGAGTAGGAAGGATACATGCAACTCCTGAAGATATTGGCAAGGAATAACTACCTGATTTCTAGACAATAGTAAACTCTCAATCCTTTTACTCTTACTCTACATTTACAGACTCAGCCCAGATTTTATAGGCTTCTCAACAATTACAAGGCATTTTAAATTAGAAGGCTATGCTAATTAGTATTGTTGGTGACGTTTACACAATCTGAAGTATGGTTATTGGTGAGACTGTGATTGATATTGAGTTCTGACTGCATGAAGAAGCATATGGTGAATTGATGTTGATTAGTTCAGTTTGTTGTAGCCTATAATTCAATAGCGGTGTCATCATATCCCCCTTGCATGCAACTATGGGGAACTACATAGAGTTATTATGCATAGGGTTTGTTTATAGTTGTTTTGTCTGGTTGGTTCCAGCAAGAAGTTACTCATTTGCTTTTCCTTCTTTAATTTTTATTTGAACCCTTTTCTGAAATTATATATTGCCTTATGTAATTTGTTTAAAAGGCTATTTTTCCATATATATGTAGGTCTTTGTTAAATTTGGAGTTCCAGATCTAGCTGATCAGTATAATCAATGACATTTAATGGGTTCAGGGAAAATATTGATGAGATTTCAAAAAGTTTTTCCATGGCTAATAATACAAAATCTAAAAGAATCTAATATAGCAAATCTCCAAAGAAATGTATTTTCTTGAAACAAACTGAGCCCAAGTATTGACCTTCTGCTGTTTGCAGAAAGTTTAGATGTTGGGAAAAGCAAGGAAAGTTTCAGGGCGTGGAGAAGCTGTAGCAGCCAATTATGCTTTTGGTCCAGCTGAAGATGACATAATAATCAAGCATAGGCTTCTCACTCGTACAACAACAACAAGGGGTGAGCCTCCATTGAAGAAGCTTCAGAAAAAATTCACAACCTTTGTCTCCGAGATTGAAAAAGAAGAAGATAACTATAATGACTGTGAAAAGCTAGCCAAAGCTTTCTTGCAGGAATTAGCCACATTTGAGATTCCACTTCTAAAGAGTAAAGCAATTGTTGACGCCAATATTAGAGAGAAGGAAAATTTTAATGAGCTGAAAGATGAAATAAATAGGCAAATTGTGCAAGCACAGGCTGACATTGAAGATCTAAAGAAGCAACTTGAAGAAAGTAAGATTGAGAGGCAGCACAAGGAGGAATGTGAGGCTATTAGGAAATTGATTGCTCAGCAGCCACCAAGATCAGAGACACAGAAGCTTATAACTGAGTTAGAGAAAGAAATTATGGCATTAGATGCAGAGAATACAGCTGGCTCGAGATTGTTGGAGCTTCGGAAGAAACAATTTGCTCTTCTGTTGCATGTGGTATGTGGAAGTCTGCACATGTCATAACTTGTGTGATTGTTGTGTTCCTTCTTATTTTTATTTTTAAAATTTTTCACATTGATTGTAGTGTTCTTTGTCCAGTGAAATAATTAGTATGCGTTTGATCATATCCTGAATTTTCATTAACTCAGTTTATTTTCTAAGATTATCATGACAATTTTAAGATTATTGCATTTATTTGAGCAGCACTACCCTTCCGTTACCTTGTCTTGCATCTATTGTCTCCCAATCAAACTTCATTTCCTGGAAAAGGGTTATTGGTATTTAATCTTTAAAAAGATTGAATATACATTGAAGAGTGATTTTGACAAATACTTGGCGATCCCCCCTTATTCTTAAGTGTCTTCGGCACTTGTTTTCCTAGCCCTTGGTTAAGAAGTTTGCTCAATAAGAAAGTCACTGCTGATGTAGCTCTTCTGCTGCTTATTTTCTTGCAGGTGGATGAGTTGCAGAACACAATAGAGGAAGAGCAGAAGAATCTCATTGAGGAGATGAGAGCAGCACCTGAAGAACTCAAGAATGGAATAGAAGATGCAAGTGGGGGTTCAGAAGCTATGGCTGTTGACTAGCAAGTGAATTTCATGTTGATCCTTCCATTGTAAGATTAGTTACTCTTCAATCATTTGATATCATCCCATAGGGATTGTTTTCTCATCTCTAAAATTGAGTAGTAACCTTTATTTATTCAACAACAATTAGTAATGCGCTAGTGAAACTTTATGGCAACTTAATGGGAACCCCACTCTGGCTGTTAGGCATGAACTTTCATTTCTGATAGTTGAGGTTGAGACCGCGTGTTTAATTTTTGGATTTGGATGTTCTGAAATTGTTGAGGTTCAACGCAAAATATTGTATTTTCTGTTTGTATATGCAAGGCAAAATTTATAAAACATGGAATGCTGAAGTACTTCATATCCATGTTCCTAATTTCCCCACTTTCATGCATCAAATAATCGTTGATAATGATAATGGCATAATCTTAATTCTAATGATAATTGGGTCTTAACCTCATGCATTACATGAAGTTTGAGAAAGCAAGTTGTGTTATTCACGATTGATGAACTGTGCAAATTGCCATAGATGCCTTTCCAGCTATAGTCAAAACTTACACACAAATGCACCGATGTTTCTTAATAAAAAAAGGAGCCAAAATCACCAACTCAAGTTAACGTTGGTGGGGAGTTTGAATCCTAATTATTGTGTTTCGAGCAACCTAGTTGGGAGGAGTTTAGTACTCTTTATGCCTTACCAAAAAAAAAAAATTAAATAAATAAATAAGAAAAAAGAAAAGCTGCCAACGTCAGAATTAATTTATGAGTTTGTGAATATATGAAGCCTCCTTGTTTTGGTGAAAATACTTCAATTAGTTGTGGCAATTACCTCACTTTAAACGAGAGTAGTTGTGGCGAATACTCACAAATGAATTCAGGTCTTGTTTTTGTTGTGAATTGTAATTGGACTAACCCTCTTGTGATTGAAAAAAAAAACAAGAATTGAAATGATCCCAACACAATAAGGACAAGGGTATTAAGAGTGGCTCTGTGGCCCAAAATTAATATCTAGGAGTTGAGAGAAGTTAAATGAACAGCCTGATCTTCCTCTACCATTCTTCAACCTTATTTCTTCCAACCACTAAGATCAAATTGTAATGATTCCAATTTGTTTGTTTCCTGAATTTTCATATTCTATTAATATTCTTATAAAATATAAGATTTATATATGAATGGTTGAGATTAAAAATAGGGAGGAAGTAAGAAAAGTGAAAGATTTAGAGAGCATCTTTGTTTTTTGACATTTTTATTTGACCGGATTAAACTCGAGTACCGTAGGAACCGATTGAAGGTGAGAGATCATTCATGGTGTTAGTAATATGATTTTGCATTGGGTCTAAGTTCCAACGCGGCCACTTAGAGGCCCAGATAAGAGATTTGCTGCCTTCTATCTTCTTATTCAATGCAGTTCTTTTGTTTTCAGTGAGTTATGTTCTAGTTAACATTTCAAGCTCTGAGACGTTTCCATTGATGGTGCTACATCTTTCCAAAAACCACTGTTTTATAATGTATGGCAGTGGATTTCGAAACGCTATCGGGGATGGATTTGTGCTCATAAACGCCTTGTGAGGCATAGGAAATAAGGAAATGTAGCATAGTGCAGTTCAACTCAACCAAGTTGGGTCTCTGTCAACTGGTTCTGGTCATCTTCTTCAAGTTGCTTCATAATCCTGCAAGCCAGAGTTCGAAGATGTTACTAGTTGTTATGTATGTGTCTGTGTTTATTTCTTTCGTCTTATGTTCAATGTTGCTATGTAACTAAGGCCAAATATAGTTCCTACGTAAGTTCTGGATTGGGTTATATGTCTCGTGACTTTCTTTCTGTCTTTAGTTGTTTCGTGTTTGTCTCCTGACTCCAAATAATGCTATTCATCTAATTTTCTTAGGCTTTTTATGTTATCGTTTTACTTTAATATAATTTGATCTGTATGTCAAATATATATATATATATATATGAGAAAGAAGAAAAATTTGTCATTTTCTTTGAGAATTGGGGGAATGACAAATTTTTTTCCCAAAATATGTAAATAATAATTAAGTATTGCAAAAGGTGATAATTATTATTTAATCTCAAGAGATTTATTTGACATTTCAATTTTTGACAAGATGTAATGTTTGCCCTCAATGATTATTATATATTGGAAAATGACTATTTTATTGGACTAATAACAAACAGAATAAAAAATAACTAATTTTTTTATGTAAATTTGATTATTAGTTAAGTGCAAGTAATTATCGGTGATTATTATAGGATTAATGAGTATTTTAGATTTTGAAGTATTACGCGAAAAATGCCCTAAACCCTAAACTTTTGAAATGTACAAAATGAACTTTAAACTTATAAATTTATAGTAAATTACCCCCACCATTAACTTATATTTAACGTTGTTACTGTTCACTTAGTGAGACCCAATCAAGATGCTAATGTGACAGTTTCTTATTAATATGTCATTTGTTAATGAGTACCATAAATTCTAAATTATTGCACGAGTAGCATTCTGAACCTTGAATGTTAAAATTTTGAATAAATTACCTCCACTATTTTGTGCAGAATGTTGGCAGTTATTAGACTAAATTAATTTCAGCGTGGTTCGCCATGATGAATGCGTTGTTAACTGCAGTGAATGACCCAAAATTTTGTCAAACAACATTTTTTGCCCCCTTTTTACAATGTTTTTCAAATGATTGACATTTCATGCTTTCGTATACTCTATAATTCTAATTTAGTTTTATTTTGAATAATATTTATTTATTTAATAGCAAAAACTTAAGATCTCATTTGAAAAGAAGTTTAAATATAAAAAGATATTATTTAACCGATTAATTTGGGTTTGAAATCCATTGATGAAATCTTCGGCTTTCGCATTTATCGTCTGTAAAATCCTTTGATACTTAAATTTCTTTTCAAATGAAATCCCAAGTTTTCACTATTAAATAAATAACAATTATTCAAAATAAGACTAAATTAAAATTATAAAGTATATCCATACATGTGATATCAATCATTTAGAAGACATTGCAAAAAAAGGGGGCAAAAAATGTCATATTACAAAATTATAGGTTGTTCATTGCGGCTAACAATGCATCCACCACTGCAGATTACATTAAGGCTAATTTAATTTACATAATAGTTAATATTCTACATATAAATGGTGGGGGTAATTTGCTTTGAATTTCAAAGTTTATGGTCCCTAATATTACTTGTGCAATAGCTTAGGATTTATGGTGCTTATTAATAAATGATACATCAATAAGAAACTGTCACATCAACATTTTGACTGGCCCTTTAAGTGGATCCCGTTTTAGTGCTAAGTAGTGTGATTAGTAGGAGAAGCTCATCACCAAAACGCACAGCTTAATTAAAGTAAGAAAAATCTTGGCCATCCATTATGTTATAATCTTAGCTGTTGATTTATTTATTATTTTTTTATCTCATCAAACCTGATGGCTCTACCCTTCCATTATTCGTGTTCCTTTCTTGGCTTCTCCAAAAACCAATTCGCCCAGCGTGAGTTCCCCAATCTTTGGCCTATCTCATCAGCAATTTCTTTAGCTCGTTTATCTTTCTCCATTATCAATAGAGAGGCTTGGAGAAAGATATTTTTATTAGATTGAAAGAGTTAGAGGTTAAGTTAGAGGTCAAATTACCAAATTGAAAGAGTTAGAGGTTAAGTGACGTTTTTTATTTTTTAAGAATATGAAGGAAGAAGAAGATATTTTTTGTTTGGTTCTTTCAGATAGATGACATGGAGTTTTTTTTTAGATTTATTTGTGATAATTTATTGTCAAAATTGCTGGATAGCACAAAAATCATGTGTATATGACAAGTATTCATCAATTCCTTATCCCCCATCCTATATACTTTTTATTTGTTAACGGTGTTTAGAATAATTTGACTTCTATTTTTTTATATTCTAAATATCATTCCAAAATTTCATTTCAAATGCCAACCCTACCACTCTTGCTTCTTTCTCTGTGAAATGCTTCTCAATCAAACATTCTCTTCTCAAATGCTAATGGAAGTAATGCCATGACATGATAACAGAAGGTTTTATTACAAGTCTCCAAGCTCACTTTGCTAGTGGGTTTCACAGGATAGTTGGAATTCAGCTCAGCATCAATCATGTGAGACATGTTCAACTCAGTGACCTTGTTCATGCTGAAGCTACCCCTGTCAGTATTAGCTTCACTGTTTGTGGACGTATGACTGAATCAATGAATCTCGAAACCTGTTTTTTATTAAAGCTGTGCATTTTTCTATGATGAGCTACTCCTGCTCAGTATTATGCTTAGCAGGAAAATTGATCCCCTCTTTAAGTGAATAGTAATGGCATTAAGTATAAATTAGTGGTGGGAGATAATTCACTGTAAATTTAAAAGTTTAGCATTCATTTTATACATTTTAATATTTTAAAATCTAGGGCTCTTTTTGCATAATACTTCAAGATTCAAAATGCTTATTAACCCATTATTATATGTTAGAAAATGAATATTTTAGTTGGGCTGTTGACTTAAATAGAATAAAAACTGAAGGCTTCTCTTTCACAAATTTGTGATTTATAAATGGATAAGAAAATAACTATTTTTGTTGCAGTTATTGATAAATAAATTTAAAAAAAAATGAAGTAGTCATTTTCTATTATGTTTTAGTTAATAACTCATTCAAAGTACTGAAGTAGTCATTTCTCAAAGTATTATAATCATTGGGAGCAAATATATCATTTTGTTAAAAAAAATAAAAAATGTTAGACAAGTTTTTAGAGACTAAATAATAATCATTATATTTTGTAGTATTTAATTATCATTTACATATTTTAAAGGTGTTTTTTATCATTTTCTCTTGAGTAATTTTTTTTTTAATTTTCAGTCCAAACAAATTCTAAAGATAAGAGTTGGATTCAAAGAAAGGAAGGTGGCGAATATTACGATCTCGTTTTATTAAGGAAAAACAAATGAGAAACACAAGGTTAAAAAGTAGTTTTTCCGTTAAAAAAAAAGTAAAAAAATAAAATGCTTTCGTAATATGGAAGTTTTTTTTTTTCACAAAAAAATATGAAAGTTCAAAAATAAAATAAATAATTAAAAAATGTAAGTATGTAAGTACTTTTATCTTGAATTTTATTATGAAAGAAACAACGTACTAGGAGCATTTTATACAATTGTTTAATCAAGTATAATATGAAAATTTTGGCCAGAAAAAGTGTATAATATGAAAATTCGGCAAGTTGAATCAGTAAATCATAAAATTAATATCTTAATTAGTTTAATAAAATACTTTTTTATTAAGATAAATTACTAAATTAGCCTACTGGTTAAAAAAAAATTAATATCGAGAAAATATGAATCAATTTTTTTT